CATCAGTGTGCGTTTTCTTCAGGTACTCCAGCTTCTTCCCACAGTCCAAAGAAATGCAGGTTAGGTTAATTTGTGACTCTCAATTGCCTGTAGGTGTGAATGGTTGTCTGTCTCTATGTGTCAGCCCTGTGATAGTCAGGCAACCTGTCCAGGGTGTACTCTGCCTTTCACCCAATGTCAGCTGGGATAGGCTCCAGCTCCCCCGCGACCCCTAACAGGATAAACAGTTACGGAAAATGGATGAAGAGTTTGCGTCAAAAGCTAAGGATTAAAATTTTTTGTTTCTTAACCAATCACAATCAACTCCAGTTTCACTCTCATGTTGGAATGAGATGAGTTTTGTCCACTTGGTGTTTTGCCTTGCTATATTTGTGTATGTGTGTGTGTGTGTGTGTTTTCCCTGGCACTGTATCTACAATTTTTTTTTGTAGCTTTCTCTTGGATGTGTGCTGCATACGGTCTGACATGCGGTCGCTATTTTTTTTATAAAGTTTTGAACTCACCTTTAATAAAGTCCTGCTGTACCCAGGGACATTCATAATGTAGCACAATGGGGTTGTTGTTTACATTTGGATCAAGGATTGTGCTTTCAAGCTTGCTGTTGTTGCACTCTCAGGTGTCTGGCAGACTAGCCTGGCTTCCTGACAGACAGACGCTGAGAAGTATTTTAATGGCTGCTGTCCATTAGGTGTTCAGCAGCGATATATGTGTGGTGGATTATGTTTTCAACTGCCTGTCAGGAAGACAGAGAGCAGCTATCAAAAACAAGTCTATCAGGGGCTTTTAGATCTGCCTATGCGCCACACCCAAGGCAAAATTACCTGCTGAGTGCGCCACTGGGTCCTCTCACAAACACATTTATTTCTCCTCCCAGCTACTATTAAAGTGTTTAGTGGTTGGTTTTAATAGCATCATAAAAGATGAATAGATTAACACCTCGATATGAACCACTCAGTATCTCTTGGTGTCCTTGACAAGTTCTCCTCGCTCACTCACTTGCCCACTCACCCACCAGTCTATTGACCCTGGGGTTACCTCAGAAAGTAGGTTTAGGAGGTCAAAGGAATACTCCAGTCCCCAATTGACCATTTGATCATCAATTATTTACTGTGTTAATTTGAATTTGTGAAGACAACTTTTTCTTTTCTTGCATGCCTGCCGTTGAACGAAGAATCCAAAAACAGAGAATGTATTCTTTTAACCAGGTCTTTTATGTCAAAATTTAAGGAAATCCTGGATTTGGAGCTCAAAGAAAAGCCCCTGTTATAAATACAGGGCTCACTGTACATCACTGTCCTCAAAATTGAGCACGTGTGAGTGTTGTCTGACCAGTACCAACATTTTTAATTGGAAGTCTGCTTGAGGATAAGTTGTGTTTTATTAGACTTTACTTGATTGTTTCCTGTCCTGGTTGGTTGGAGGTGTTTCGACCTGATATTCCTGATGTTTTTCTTGTTAAACATCAAACTGCTGTCGTTTACTTTTAAAGTTATAGTTGAATCTTATAACACCTACTTACAAGCTTTTCAAATCTCCTTTTGTGAACAGGATTTTACCTGGTACATTTAGCCCACACACCTCACCAGTGACGCCGCTCAGCCGTAGAAAGACAGAAAATCACTTTGTGCTCTCCATGGCTGCTCTTCAGCACCCAAGGCACCTATCTACCTTTGCCAGTTCATCAGTGTGTGACACATTGACTCTTTATACCCAGTCTCCCTTTACCCAGCACTTCCATTTCACAGCCGTCTGCCCGCGAGGTAGACAAACATTCAGGGTCAGTCAGGGTCTTTAACCCCAACTGATTTTAGGCATTCTCGTCAACCATTATTAATCCGTTTAAAGTTTAATGATTTATTGCTTATTGACCTGTCCACCCACCGTCTCCTATTTGGGACATTCACTCTCTTTCTTTATGAACTTTACCCAACTGTGGGAAATATTTTAAAAAATATGATATAAATGTCATACATGGTGGTTGATTTTCAAGAAAGCACCCCTGCAATCACTCCTCTGCACTGTACCCACGCTCACTCATATTCATCCACCACCCACCTACAGCACCAACCTTTTCCATTTCATACTTCTCAGCCTGTGTGTGTTTATGGCACCATAAAGCTGGCACTATGGGATGCAGAGACTCTGAGCCAGTGATGTGTGTCTGGGGAATATTGACCCGATGTGACATAGAAAGAGTGAGAAAGAGGGTCGCTGGCGTTTTAGAGATAATTGGCTTTTGCCTCCACGATGGGCCCATTTCTCTTTGATCCTGTCATTAGATAGTTCATGAAGCATCACCTTATGTACATGATAGACTGTGCTTCACTTCTTTTACAGGGAAATAGATTCCCTTTTATTTGTTTATTGCTTGTATTTACAAAATTCAGCTTTGTATTTACTGTCAGTTATGCCACACAGTAATTTCCTCCCAGACATTTCTAGCTGTATCTCTTTCACCTCCTTCTTTTCTCATCCTGTCACCTGTGTCCACTCGCTGCAGCTCTCCTGCAGTGATACGTCAAGCAGCAATATGTTTCTAGTATCTCTGCTGGTGTGTATGAGGGTGTTTAAATGTGAAGGATTGGACATTTGTTCCCAGCAGGCCGGTGTTAGTGCATATTTTTCCCGCTCTCACATCAAAGCTTGCTGGCAGCTGAGAATCATGTCAGCAGTTTATACTCAGACAAAGCTGGTGTCATACTTTTATGTTTATTGATATTAATAGCACTCTTGTTAGACTCAAATGACCTGTGATTATTTAGTATGGAGTGCATTTGACTACTATCCACAGTATAATGTTATATAAAAGTCTTAATCGTCACAGCCGTATGTGTTTGCTCACACTTCTTGTAATAACATCACTCACATAAGTCTTGTCATCAGCCTCTTTACTGCCTCTAATAAGCATCAGTAAAGTCATTATGTGAGAGTCAGGTGTTTGCACTTCTTCTCTTGCTAATGATAGAACACAGCTCCATCTTGAACTAATGAGACGTGTGCAAACACTGAGCGAGCTCAATCTTCTGTCATCTAGTATCCCGGCTGTCAGCCTTGTGTACGACAGTTGTGGCTGTCTGCAGACAAAAGGGAAGAATATCATAACACATAAACCTCAAGATAATGTTTGCTTTCCACTCACATCATATATGTTGTGTACTGTATGGTGGATTCTGTATGTTTGCTTACATTCCTGTTACTGGCAGAAAGGATGAATCCCAGGCACAGAGTGAGAATTGTCTCATAATAGGATTCACCTAACTCCCTTGAGATTTGCTTGGTAATCGCCTTGGTTGCAGTGGATGATAACATGACACTGATTTGAAACACATTCAGCGAAAAACAAATGGATCAGCACGAGGTACCGTTTTACTGGAAATTGCCGCTCATAATCCTTACGGTTATGCACACTGCAAGGGGTGATGGTTAGGACAATGAGATAAAAGGCACGAGATTCTGGCATGCCAACGATGGAGGGAAGGATGGCAGAGCGCAAAGTTGTATCTGTAATTTTGAAAGGGAGTATTTTGTCTTTGTTGTCATATGAGGTGTTGGTTCACATACATGCAGTGGAGTTGAAATATTATGGTCTCTCTGCGTTACACTGTAAAGGGAGAAACACAGTACTCATAAAATTATTATAATGGAAAGACAACAAGCTGTGTTATGTAATTTGTACGCGCTATATACAGTAATTATATACTGTATGTATGTGAAATGCCTACGATTAATCCCGTGATCAGGTCCCTTTGGCCACTTTATCTCAATCTGGACGTGAACAGACTGCCGAGCCAGTAAACCTGATTATCTCCTGCACAAACACAAACTCAGGATGCAAACATTGCATCATGAATCCTTCCCAGTCTCCCTAAATTTGTGTTGTTGCTTGTAATTTCCATTCAGACACAGTCAACATTTGAACTTGTGTGTCTGAGGGAAGAAAAACCGCTTGGGATGCATGCTGAAATGTATCATCTGGACAGAATGTCACGGGTACTTTATTTAATTTAATTTATTTTGACGTCATAGTCTCCGATTTCTTTAACTGACCTCGTTCTTTGCCTCTATGGTGTGTTTCTGTCTCGTGTCCTGGTTTTTCTTTGCCTGTCAATCCAATTGATTTTATCCTGTTTATGGACCTTGGGGAATAGGATGTTAGGATAAAGCAGAAATGGAGCAGACAGGAGGATCAATGCCCATTTATCAGGAAAGAAAAATGTAGATATAGAACAACATATCCTTTTGCCTCTCGGTCATCATAAGGAATGGTGAATACATAGAGATAATAAACTGGAGACCCGCTAGCCTGTTTGAGGTTCATGTATGTCTCAGAGTAAACTGTATATACAGTATGTGTGTAAGTGCACATTTGTGTGTTTACATTTATGTATAAAATAATGTTAGTTTGTGCACTTTTTTTTAGGTTGACATGTTTATAAGCATGCAAACACCATTAATGCATAAAATGAAGATCAGTTTTAAAAGCATTTATTGATTCTACAAAACTCTGTTGGCACTTTTATAATATGACACAAATATAAATCAATGCTACCACCTAGTGGTCAAATAGAGGCACTGTATGGGATGCGTTCATCTGAGCACCCAGTGTTTTTAAAATCATGTGTCACATGATAACCGAATTATTCACGGGAGAGGATGAATGTTTTTGATATTAATAATAATAATAACAATATATTTTATTTGTATTGCACTTTACATTTTAGCAATCTCACAGTGCTACAGAGCAGGATAAAAATAAATAAATAAATTAAAACGAATTATTAAAATGATTAGAGACAATAAATAGTTAAACGTTAATGTCAGTAACTATTTTATGATAATCCTTATTGTCTGTGCTACAATTTTACCAATGACATAAGCTAAAGAAGGTGACCTGCTTACACTTTCAATATGACCCTTTTCCTAAAAGGTAGACAGGCAGCATATATGATCACTTTGGTGTTACTCGTTGCTTAACAGTATTGCTCTGTGTTTCCCTGCAGGGACCAGTGACCCATATGTGAAGTTTAAGATTGCAGGGAAGGAGGTATTCAGGAGTAAGACCATCCATAAAAACCTCAACCCAGTGTGGGATGAGAGAGTAAGTCTTCTGGTGGAAACCCTGAAGGACCCGCTATATGTCAAGGTACAGCCAATGCATCCTGGACTTTAAATGTCAGTCTGCTGTAATATAATTTGCTGCTGTATATTGGATGACTGTAAAGTCTCAATGGATATGAGATCACTTTGCAAGCTTCCTTTTTATGCCAGGTATGATGATTCAATGTGAAAATAAAGGCAGGGGCAGATAACATTTGCAGTGTGGTGTTTAAGGTCTTCTCTTAACATTTACTGTGTATTGTCTCTTTGTAGGTTTTTGACTATGACTTCGGACTTCAGGATGATTTCATGGGCTCAGCTTACCTCCACTTGGAGTCACTGGAACATCAGAGGTCTCTTTGTTTTTTTGTTTCATTTACTTTTATACTTTCCACGTACACTTGTCCTCCTATTAACTTAACTGTGTCCTGTACTCTCTTGTCCACTGATTGTATTTTGTGATCAAATATACCCTGTTGTCTCCCTCTAGTGGCTGTTTTATGGTAACTCAATTCAATTTGGATTGCAGAGAGAGGTATATGAGGAGGAATTTAATCACCAAAAGTCCATTATTTATTAAAAGTTAAGTAGAAATACTGCTATCTTTTAAAGTGTAATCACTGTATCATCTGTAAACTTCATGTGACCCCAAAAAGATGGCACATAATTTTCAGTTTGATATTATTTTTTAGGTGTTTTTAATTACTCTAGCTGATTACACCTCTTAACAGGTAGAAGTTGAATCAGCTATGCTAGGAATAGACCTTTTTCACAACATATGCTTGGACTTGTAAAAAGCAAGAAAAGCACAAGTTTGATTATTCACATTGACGATGCCTATTCAAGTGTTCCAGTAAGCCATGACTTTGTGACAGTGAGCCAGCATGCTTAAAACTAGGATTCCATAACCAAAGCAGCTAAATGAAATTCTTTAAATTAAAATGTTTCATATTAACACGAGAATGCTCTCTGTGTTCTTATCTATCAACATCATGTGGATTAATGAAGTGTAGTTCACATTTTCATGTCCTCAAATACATTACTCTGTATTACAATAAATCCCAAAGGGCTGTTGAGCTGCTCATCACAACAGGATTAGTCTTGCATTGTCAGAACTGTCTCGATGTTACCTGCTGTGTTTACCAACATCTCACTAAACAGCACCATAAAAAATTCATAAGTTCTGCCACGGCTTAGTGTTAGTACATGTATATTTAAAGACCTGGATAACAACTTGGGAGTGATAGGAGGTTACAATCTACAGTCTTGAGTTTAGGGATACACCAAACTAACACTGATACTGGGGTCGATACTGACTCAAATTGCTTGATCAGGTATCACTGTCAATTAAATTCAGTTCTGTGTTTACTAGGGTTGAGCCAAATACTTGAATGAAAACAGTCTCCAGTAGGGATAGGGTTGGAGAGTATCAGAACAAATAACTAAGTCACGTATTAAAAAGGGAAATTGTGAGTAACTTTATTTCGTCACAGTTGCAGTTTGAATTGGTGGTACTGAAGCTGAATACAGTTATTGTATTTTGAAATAGATAACTTGAAGAGATGACTTTATTTGTTTTGTTTACTTAATCTGACAACATGTCTTAACTGAATGCAGTGCGAGTTGCGTCAGTTTGACAGCATTGTTTTTACTGGAATGTTGCAACTGGCCTCGAGCAACACAGCACTGCTATTATGAACTGAACTTTTGTCATACATCTTGTTTCTATTTATTCATGCCACTGGCTTTGAAAGCTTTGCAATAGACAAGGAATGGCTGTTCATGAAGTCGAAATGAGATGTTATCTGCACAACACCTCCTCCTGTCACTACAAAAACCCAAATAAGGTGGTTGCCGGCTAGACTGAGATCGCAAGGGCGCAGATAGATTCTGGTGAATGACCATTGCTAATAACAACCTACCTGCTGCTGGCTAGTACAAACATAAAAAGATAACAGGTACTTGCCCATCTTTTAAGTGGTTACGTCTCCAGCTGAGGCACAGCTGATGTAACGGAAGTGCATATTTAACAGATGCATTGTGGACAGAGAGCAACGCTAAAATTCATATAAGCCACACATTTACCATTAACAGATTTTTAAAAAGTGTATGAAGTGCACCTGCCACATGACTAAGGCAGAGCAGATGCACAGCCAGAACACTGTCCTATGTTTTTTGTTTTAAGAGTATGTTTCTTTGTTTGAATAATGTACAAATGTTTACATTCTGTGTTACAAATTACATTTCAGAGCATTCAGTAATCTGTTGTGGAATATGTTACACAAGAATACAAGAATTATCTGAGTGAAATGTGTCAATACCCGTACTGGTGATGAAGGAAAATCCTCATTTGAGTGGCTGTGTTCTACCTCTTGTTCTTGTGGGCATGATCTTCAGATCATGCCCATTCTGACATTGTTCTGTAGTAGTTTTCTGATAAACAGTAAATGATCTTCAACCTCTGATCAACCTATATCAATTTTGGGATCAAAATAAAAACTTCCGGTTGAGTCACACCAATGTCTGGTTTAAACTTTACCCACCTCTAGTTAAAACGCTGCCCATTTCAAGTACATATATAGATACAGCCAACTTATGTGGCTGAACTAACACAGATACAGATAATGGTGTACTCGCCCATCCCTAATGTTTGCATCTGATTACATGTGTGCGTACTATGTCACATGTCAGCAAACCACAGAGATTAGGTAGCTAACAACAAACATGTCAGCTGTTTTGAGGTATTTCATTTTTTTATTTTGTATTTATTTGTTACATTTTATTGTACAAAGTTGGGCAAGCAATGGTTAAGTCAAGCCTCTGCACATGAAAGAACTGTCCCAGTCACATCCACACAGCAAGGCATACACCTTATTAATTACACACTGGTGTTTGTTAGCAGTTTTAGCCAATATCCAAAAGCCAAGGTATTGATACTAGTTGAGCTTTGGTGGCGGGCACCCATTTTGTTTACATTTGAATCAGGGATTGTGACTTTAAACTGGTCAGGTCTAAACTGACTTTAGCTCGCAGTGACTTTTGTTAGTGTGCTAAGGGCTTAGCGAGGCAGGTAATATTTATTACCTTCCTCATGCATAATTAAAGATTGTTAGCCAGGTTGACTGCTTGTTGTGATTGTAACTTACTACAAAGGGCAAGAATGGCAGCTAGTAGGAAGAGAGCAAGGAATGTCACAGCTTGTTGGGCAGGTTATCTCTGCACATCCATTGATTCAGACTTGAACTGATTAAATATGTGTATCCACTTTACATTAAGATGGGGGTGTGCGCGTAATGCATGCATTCATTTTTATGCACATAATATGGAATTCATGCCCTTCATGCATATGAATGTACAGTATTTATGTAAGCACTTACAGTTTGAATTTCTTACTGTGCTTCCCTGAAGGACACTGGATGTGACGCTGGACCTGAAGGACCCACAGTACCCTGAACATAACCTGGGCAGCCTGGAACTAGCTGTCACTCTGTCACCGAAGGAGGGAGAAATGAAGGATGCTGTAAGAAAACTATATGACCTTTCAGTGAGATTACTCATTCATCTCTGTCTCTCCCTGCACACACTACATTTCCTCCTCATTCAGGGGAATCATACCCTTCTATCTTACTTGCACCACTGTACATCATCTGTGACGTCACGTCAAGATAAAGAATAATATGCCAAATAGAACTTCTGAGGATCTATGTTAAAGCTACAGTTGGTAGCTCATGTTTGCTGAAACTGTCACTATGTATATGCATAGTATTATATGAGACAGATAGTTTATGGAGAAAATCCTGTTCCATTTATTAGAATCTACACACAATCCCATCTTTATAGACAATGGCCAAAAAGACACTGCCTGCTGAATCAGAGCTCTGGAGATTGGCAGGTCAGGTGAGAAATTAAGTTTAATTAGGGGCTGACCACACGTGATTTCAAGCTAATGCAAAGGTGGAGGAAGTAGATCTTTCATTGAATGTAGTAATAACTTTGCATGGTCGTCTGTTGACGTGCCAGTGCATTTTCAACTCAACACAGCTGTCAATCATGTCAATCGCTGCTCGTGAACTGCAGTCAAAATGTCAACCTATGTTTCTAGAAACATATTTTAGTGCATTGTTTAGCTGTAAAATGAGAAAGATTGTGACGCGGTCGCCATGTTGGAAAGAGTCAAGCTGAAAACTCAAAACCACCCACCAGGCAGAGGAAACTTTCTCAGTTTACAGCTAAACAGTACACTAAAATGTGTTTCTGAAAATATCTGAGGTAATAAATAAACAATGCAGTAACAGAGTCTTGATTCATATTTGATCCGCACTGACAGCTTGACTGCAGTTCACGAGCAGTGATAGACATGATTGACAGCTGCTTTAGAAACTTGTCCGCTTTGATTGGTTTGTGTCTTGAGCCGCGGTAGATTCTAGCAAATGCCATAAGAAGCATGAGTGGGAGGAGAAACCTGATTTTTTTTTTCACAGATCATCTGTCTCATGTACTTTGTTAATATAGTGATAGTTTCAGCAAATATAACAAGTTATTTTTATAGAAGTTGCGCACTACAGCTTTAAGCATAACTGCTTTTCAGTAAAAACAAACAAAAAACAGTTTTAAATTTTTCATAATATTCATAATTTAAGTTCAGCAACAGTGTTTGCCAGGTCAAAGATTTGTTTCTACATCAGGTGCCCAGGCAGGCTGTGTTGAACTGGAATGTGCTGGCTTCAGTCAGCCTTACTTGCTGGAAACTCTTCAACTCAGCAAATGCATATGCATAAACACAAGTGTAATTAATATGTTCTGTGGAAAAGTTCCATGTTCAAAGATTCTCTCTCCTAATTATGTTGGCTCGTGCCTCTGTGGACATGCTCAGTGTTTCAGAGTTGCATTTATTTCTGTTCAATTATTTGTTTGGTTAATTGGACCCCTGCATGCTCGATCCGAAACAAGGCAGAGTCATGTGGGAAATACTTTATTCCTTTTGATCTGATGTCTTAATTCTGCTGCTTATTTAGTACTGTAGTTCAGAGAGTCCACATTTGACAGAACAAATAAACTCTATTTAGGTTAAGCATCATTTTGGATCTCTCCAACTGTGAAGAAAATGAGTACAAGGTTACACCAGTACATTCTGGATGGCTCTCTCTGTTGCCATCTACTGGTATGAAAGGGTGAGGAAAAATACAGAACTTCTAAATTAGTCCTTTACTGAACTGCTAGTAGTCTGGGGATTTCGGTAATCATGCAGCATTGACAATGGGTATGTATGATGACCTGCGTTATATGCTGTATGCTTTCAAGTTCACAAGTATTGTATGACATGAGGGAGTTGTGTGAGTTTCTTTGTGCACATGTAACCAGTCCTCTCATGTAATGATTATTTCTGTATTTGAAACTTTTGCATTAATGACTATATTTAACCCAAAGAAGCAGAAATAAGCCACATTTATCCCAGAAATAAATTGAAGCCAGAGAGACATGCGACAAGACCTTCAACAAATCTGCATTTTTATGACATGTCTGTAATCCTCACTCTCATGCCTTGCCAGTGCAACAAAACTTTTGTGTACAGTGAAGTACAATGTTGCATAGGTTTTCAAGGATTCTCCATTAAACAAAGAAGTAAAAACTATGCAACTCAAACAAGGCAGCAGCTATCAGTCCCTACTCCAATCCTGTCTTTCTCTGGGTCCAGGAATGGAAATGTAATTTGTGAAAGTATCAAGTATATAAATGATGGTTACACTGTATGAGAGGCACAAACTGCAGCTACTGTTATGTACATTTATGCACTGATCAGCTACAACATTATAACCACTGACAGGTGAAGTGACTAACATTGGTCATGTGTAACAATGCGGTTGTCTGCTGGGAAACTTTGGGTCCTGGCATTCATGTGGATGGTACTTGATGCACACCACCTACCCAAACACCACTGCAGAGCAAGTACACCTTCTCATGGTAATAGCAGTGACAGATGGCAGTGCCTCCCAGCAGGACAGTGCACAATGATACACAGTAAAAACTGCTCAGGAATGGCCTGAGGAACATGACAAAGAGCTCAAGCTGTCAACCTGGCCTCCAAATTCCCAAGATCCCAATCTGATAAAGCATCATTGGGATGTGCCTGCACTCCACCTCACAACCCACAGGGCTCAAAGGATCTGCTGCCAGCACCCTGGTGCCAGACACCACAGGACATCCCCAGAGGTCCTGTGTCCATGGTCAGACACAAGTCCGATCCAAGGAGGCCCCTCCGTGGCTCGGCCTCAGCTTTGGAGTCCTGGCATATCCCACGGATGCTCAATTGGATTTGGATTTGGGGAATTTTGAGGCCAGTGGCATCCACATGACTGATAGAACCAGAGATTTCCCAGCAAAATAATGCACTATAATGACATAATCAGTGTTATACACTTCACCTGTCTATGGTTTCAATTTTGTGGCTTATCAGTGTTTGTGTGTGTGTGTGTGTGTGAGTGTGTGTATGAGTGCATGTCTGCATATGCAAATACCTCATAACACCATATGACTAGTAAGAGCGCTTCTTATACACTCCTTGCTTACTTAACTTGCATGAATGACAGCTGCCCTTGTGTATAACCACCCCCCCTGCACCAGGCCAGAGCTAACATCTGAACTTCATGTACCCCATCCCAACTGTAGCTTTGAAGCTACAGTTGGTAACTTTGTATAAAAAAATAACCTTTTTATATTTGCTGAAACTTTCACTATGTTCACACAGCAGTGAATGAGACAGATAATCTGTGAAAAAAATCATACACCTCTGCCTATACTCTACTGCCTTGTAGAATTTCTAATTTCCTTACTGCAAGTGAATGAAAACATACTGAGGAACAGAGGAGTCTCTAAGGCAAAGTCAGTCAAGTCAGTAATCGCTCAAGAACTGTGGTCAAACTGCATTGCCTATTTCTTGCTGTAGATGTTTTCAGAAACATGTTTTAGTGCACTGTTTAGCTCTAACATGAGAACATTTGTGACCTGGCTGTCATGTTGGACTCCATCCACTCCTTTCTCATTTGACAGCAAAACAGTACACTGAAATATGTTCCTGAAAACATTTACGACTAGAAATAGACAATGCAGTTACAGAATCTCGATCCATACTTGATCAGTGCTGCCTAGTTTGGAAGTCTGATGGCAGTCATGGAGTGATTGACATGAACTGATTCATTAGAGGTAGTAGGAGGGGAGGAGGGATAGGATTTCTTTCCATCCTATCTGTTTCATGTACTTCTATCAGAACATAGTGACCGTTTCAGCAAATATGACACCAAGTTATTTTCATAAAAGTTACCGACTGTATCTTTAACCTCTGACCCTGCAGCTCTAAGGGGGAGACAGTGGGGGGCGCTCTGTAACAGCTTTGTCTCATTTACAGACCATGCTTTTGAGAAGGAACTGGAAACGATCTAGTAAGGTAAACTAAAACAGCATGTAACTCCCCCACCCACACAACTTCCGACTGTACTGTAACCCCACTACCGACTGCACTGCACCGCACCTTTCCTGCACTCTTCACTTGTGTCCTGGTTCATGGATGGAGTCTCCCTGGCCCTCTCCTTTCCTCCTTCCTTTTCCTTCTTCCACAGTGGTATTGGCGGTGTTTCTTTTTTTTTTTTATCAGTTTTTAATTTCTCATTGTCACGAGCTTATTTTCCACGAGCTGCAATATACCACCTGCTACTTACATCACCTGAGAGGATGTAAACAATTTCTTTTTCTTTTTTTTTTGGAATGCAAATACAATTAAGCCTAAAGGTAAACTGTATTTACATGTGTGAAGGCAAGTCATAAGTCATCTAAAGATACACCAGGGGTGGAAGTAATGCACTGCGATTGTGGCCATTGTTATAGGGGATTTTTTTGTTTATTTCACTTTTTGGATTATGTTTACATATTTAGTGTTTCAGGTTTAGATCAGCTACAATCTGGAGTCAGTTACTGTGAAGTAACTGTGTATTTTTTCCTGAAAATCTAGATAAACTATATTAAACTTTAAACATTAAAAGATGTTAAATTATTCTGTTATGTATTTGTGCTACTTCCGCCTTTGGTCTGCACAGTGTATTGCAGCTGCTTTGTAGGAAAATATAGCAACTGATTTGTTTTCAGGGGTTTTTAAGGAGTCCTGTGCAGCAAATCAACTGTGACATAAAACAGTTTGTTGATTGTTGACTTTGTGGACAGATTATAGGACACTCTTAGACCCCTTTGCATCAGCTGTAAATCTCTGATGTTCACATTATTTTAAGTTCTCATCTTGCCATACATAAGAGACTGCTACCTTTTGGTTTCATTTTCTGTGGTTCTTGTTGGCTGTCAGGTTGAACAGAAGGCATGCCGGTCGATGCTCTGCTGTTTTTTACTGGCTCATGCATGAAGCACTTGCTTTATTTTTTGTCAAATACAGTAGTATTAGAATCAGGGACACATTTGTGAACACAACTGGGTTTATTATGTGTCACTATTATTGAGGTATTTTGTTATCTTTTCCTGTTTTGGTCAAAAGTTGTCACTGAGAAGGAAACAGGCTGAATCTGGAATCTCAGTTTTACTTTTAGTCGATCTCCGAAATCGCAGCAAGAAGCACTGAATGTTTCCTTAACTAACAGCAAAAAGTTTGATATCCTACCAAGAGACACGGATCCACATTTGAAGTGTGTTGGTCAGAGCTGGGCAGACGTCCTGCTGTATCGTGCTTCCCCAAACCGAGCCTTTGAAGCCTCCAAACTGGGCCACCCTGCCTGTGACTCGGGAATTAGCTCAAACACTAACTAGTTACTGTGCTACCCCACTGAAAAAGGCGCTGCTCCTGAGTGCCTCCCTGCCTCCGTGCTCAACTGTATACAAGTGCGCGGCTATTTTTACACAACCACTTCTTTTTAATGAAGCATCCATGAGTGTTGAACCCACAGCAGAAGATGCAAACTATTCAAGAAGTAGTTTGAGATAATGATTATGAGTCAGATGCATATTAAATCCAGGTTTCTCTAACTTAACCACCAGGCAAAATGCTTATTTTGGCACTTCAAACGTTTTTATTCTTCCAAAGGGCTGACAAAAGTTGTGTGCGAGGCTGTGTTAGTTCTTAAACAGAGCGTTAGTATCTCTTATAAGACTTTCAGCCTCCGAACATCTCTGTGCATGATCTCTCTCATGCTGCGCTCCGGCAGAGGGAGCGGATTCCCAATCCAAATAGCCCATGGTTTTCTGTAACAAGAAATATGTAGCAACAAAACAAGGAAACAATTAGGATTGTGCTCGCGTAGGACATATTGGCGACCTCTCATCATTAGCATACAGTGTGTTAGCAGCAAGTGAACAGGAGAAATGAAAGATGTGGGAGTTGCAGTATGGGAGGTTGGCTGTATTGCAGGGAGCCATTCGCATTGTTTAATGTCTGGAGAATGGAAATTAAGAGGCTCCGTCTCCAGATCAAAGGCCTGCGCTCGCAAGGCAGGGTTTGTTGAGAGTTTAATGAAATTCACCCGCAAAACAAAAGCTATGCTAATAAATTCTCCCTAACGAGGAAGGAGGAGAGGGAAAGGCAGAGAGAGAGAGAGAGAGAGAGAGAGAGAGAGAGAGAGAGAGAGAGGGAGGGGTGTATTTGTTTGACAAATAAATACCCTGCTCTTTGTTTTAGTGAAGGATACTGACATGATTCAAAGAGAGGTTAAATAGGCCTGTAAGTGCTGAGAAAACTGTTGGATAAAAAAACAGTCTTAAAACATGGAGAATCATCAATCTGAATTTGCAGCGCTGTCAAGCTACAGTACAGCCAGATGGAATACGAAATTTATGGAGCCACACTGGAGCAGCATTTCAGTGGTCTTCCCGTTTTGGATAAGACAATCTACAAATCACTCGCCTATTCATTCACTTTTTTATGTTGAGAATTTGTATGAAAAAGGCCAAACTGATGCAGTGACACGTACAGTCTTGTGCAGTAGGGGTGTAGCTGCACATCAGTCTGGATCGATATATCGTTTCAATGATCAATGAACCAGTATCATTGATGCAAAGTGTACATTGGTACATATCCTTATTTTTAAGACATGCCTTTATTTTGAAATTCCCATAGCACATCTGTGTCACCATTTCCATTTACTGGTATCGTCTCATATTGATCACAGGCCCCTGCATTGAATTGAATCAAAATTGTAAAGTGGCAGACTTTGTAATATCAGCAAATATTGTATCGTTGTCCAAAGAATACTGTATCATAATGAAACTGATTTACAACCCTACTGTGCAGACTGTAACCTATTTCAGGGCTCAACAATAAGGATTGCCCGATTGCCCGGGGCAAGTAAAACTCACGGTCGGGCATGTAAACTAACAACTCACTTGCCCGATCGGGCAAGTTGCTAAAAATAGTAAAAGTTAATAACTAATTGATAAAATAAATGTATTTTAAAACGTGCTCTTCTGCTCTGATGCAGCGGTCTCTCTGCCTGAAGTCACAGGCACAGCTGTGTAACAATGTCCTGCCCACAGCCCCCATTGATATTATTTTTCGCGACGGACGCTTCATATAATAACATAACAATATAATATTTATGGTGTTATGCCATCGTGTCATTTCTGTCTCTACATGGTCACGCGTTAACAATTCTCCTCTGCTCTCTGTATCGCGCATGGCGGAGTTCCGCCACACGCACAGGTGATCACGCTAGAGCGGCTCGGGCCGCATTTTCCTGACCAAACCTGACCCCGAGCCCGGTGCAGTTTGTCAGCTGACAAAGTTATTGAAATGGACAGTGTGTAAATAAGCAACAGACTGCTGTTACGCACAGGCAAACACACTGCTCGCACAGCAGCGCAGCACGGCACTCGTGCTGAGCTTGTGTTGCGTTCAGGCGTTGTCACGTAAATAACAACTTCCAACACTTGAATAGGTCATAGCACAAAACAGCAGCATGTCATGTGACGTTTTACTTTATTATATTCAATAAAATTGTATGTTCCTAAATCTTGAGACACCTCATATGTAGCTAGACAGACATTTCACCTGCTCATACTGTGCACACATGTACTGTATGTACTTAGTCCTAAAGAGCCCTTCTGGTGCCAGTAGATACACAGAAACATCCCAGCAGGCTGTGCTTTGCAAGCATACAAAAAAGTTTCACGCATGTGAAAATTATTTTTCATGCCTGTGCTTCACCTTTGCTGCTACAACTCCATCCTAGGGGAAACACTGCTGTGTGCGTTTTGTGCAGGTGGATGTGGTAGTGTACTGGTAGAGTAGAGAGAGAGCTAAGTAGCGTTGAAGTAGAGTAGAGCAGGGCAGAGAGATGGAAGCAAAATATATTAAACCCGGTGTTAATACAGCAGAACTGGAGAGAGGAGTGAAAAATAAATAGAGGTGGGCATGGCTCAAGTAGGGTGCACAATTATAGACGGAGAACGATTGACAAATTTTTCACTTTAAGCCCTGACACTGTCATTTTTGTGTAGGAATTAAGCTACAATATTTGACATATGTTGTTTTAATTAATAAATACAGTGTGAATAAAGATTACATAACATAAAAATAACTGCAGTCTTTGTTAATTTTTAAAATTGTTTAATTTAAACAGGTATCAACCTGCTTAAATTAAACAATTTTTATAGGGCAAGTAAAAACTGACTTCGGGCAAGTAGATCTCTGACCAACTTGCCGACCGGGCAAGTGAAAAAAAACCTTAGCGTTGAACCCTGTATTTAGTCTACAGCAGCAGCATTCCCCAAGAAATTGTTCACCTTGATTTACTCGTGCGATATTTTATGTTCTGTAATGTGTAGTGATGTTCTGGCATGTCAGGTGAGCTCACACGTTGGGGTAAATTGTGTTGAATTATCTCATTTTCTGTTAGTGTTTTCTCGTGTGTTTTGCCTGCCCCTCTCTGTGTCGTCTTGATGTGTTTGCAATTGCTTTTTTTTTTCCTGTCGACTGAGTGTACACAAGGCATAATTCTATCTTGGGTTTAATTAATGCATATGTATGTTTACTTTGTGGGTGTTTGTTTACATGCTTGTGTATATATAAATGCACATGTGTTTGTGTGAATGTTTCTTTGAATGTGTGTGTGCGTGTGCGCCTGCTGCAGTATCAGAGTCTGCGTCTGTCAGATGTGCACAGAAAAGCCCAGCTGTGGCGAGGTATAGTCAGCATTAGTCTTATAGAAGGTCGCAGCCTCCAGCCAATGGATGCCAACGGCCTCAGCGACCCTTACGTCAAATTCAGGATGGGGCACCAGAAGTACAAGAGCAAGGTAAACACACTCCTGTTTGAAATGTATTTTAGTGCACTGTTTGGCTGTTAAATGAGAGTTTGTGAACAGAAAGTGCGCACCATACCTTTTGCTGTATTGTAAAAACAGAGGCTAAAAAAACTGAGATGAAATGGTAAAGCTAATCAGTGCTAATTAAATATGAACCAAGCTTCCGCTACTGTGTTTCCTGTTTCTGACATAAAATGTCTTACAAGACATATTTTAGCTCACCATTTAATTGTTATATGAGATTGTTTGTTAATAGACGGCCACCATATTGTTTCCTGTGTCAAAAAGAAGAAAGCGCGTGTTACATCACTCACCAGTAGCAGTGTTTATTGGTCTGGTGCAGCACAGTGCATTCTGGTAGTTATAGGTGTTCTACCTCTTGAGCAAACCCAATGCCACAGGCCTTTTTCCACTGTTTTCTCTGGTTACATGGCACCAGTCACAGTTTTGTGACAAGACCATCTCTCCAGCAGGGAAATAGCAATAGCAAAACAGCTAACCTTCTGCAGTACATGTACAAGCACAAATGAACAATGTATTTCCATCTGCCATTTACACAGACAATTCCCAAAACGCTGAACCCACAGTGGAGAGAGCAGTTTGACTTCCACCTGTATGAGGAACAGGGAGGCTATGTGGACATAACAGTCTGGGACAAAGATGCTGGCAAGAAGGACGACTTCATGGGAAGGTACAGTGGTCTTTATCAGGCTGACTGGACATGTAGCTATCTCAGTATTGTGCCAGGTTGTAGCTTACCAAAATCACACATGACTTAGGACCTGTTCACACAGGGTAGGTCTCACAGAAAAAGGTTGCACAAAGACAGTTTTTCCAATCATTTTTAATGGCCATGTCTGTAATTTGTTTGGATGCACTCATTTTTAACATCCCGTTCAATATCCATGAGTGTTGCGGCATTGAAGCACTTGAGGAAGCCTTTGCTTTGAAGTCTTTGACCCAAGGCCAGTAATTACTATTGCCATGCCTTGATATAAAGCGGAGATATATTAAGGACATGCCAGAAAATCAATTCAGGCAAGAGAAGATGCTCTCAAGTGCCTACTTAAAGGTATTAATTGTGTCAGCTCTGGCTAAGTTGTATGCAGCTGCTTATATCCTACACACATGACTGTGTGTATCGTGTTACCAGGCTGTAGCTGTTGCTATGCTCCAGCACAATGTGCAATGTATGACGTCTTTTTGATGAGATGACAACTCAGAAACTCGTTTAGACACTTCATTTATAATGGGAAAGTGAAGACCTCTTTCTGTGTAACCTCACAGACATTCTGTGATGATTATTATTTCACAGACATTTTTTCTTCCTGCAAACTTAAGCGCCAAAAAAGGCTGCACTAGCATTTCTTTAAGTTTGGTCTTTATTGTCCTCTCTAGCTTTGCTTAGCTTCCTCTTTTACTATCAGCCTGTTTCAGCATAGTCAGCTCCCCCACAAAATGTGCAATACTCTAACACTGTAATCCTGTTTCTATTTGTCTTATGCATGTGTGCGCATTTTAGGTGTACCATTGACCTGTCGCATCTCAGTAAAGAACACACACACAAGCTGGACCTGGAGCTGGAGGAGGGGGAAGGTGTGCTGGTGCTACTGGTTACACTCACTGCTTCCGCTGCCGTTTCCATCTCAGACCTGTCGATCAACATGCTAGACGACCCGCACGAGAGACACCAGATCATGCAGAGATATGTGAGTTTAGTTTTGTTGTAAGAGGGGCCTTGTGTTGTGTGTGAGGGTAGGATATGATAATGTTGTGTAGACACTTTTCAGAGGAGCGTACACAATGTGAGAGAGCTCAACTGAAAGACCAAAAATGTTATTAAAACAAATCCCTAGTATACAAGAGAGCATACATACTAGGGATTTTCCTAATGAAGTTTAAACTTAGACTAGTCGACTGGTCTAAAAGTGAGAAAACACTTGACAATTGAGCACAATATAGTACATAAGGTAAGGCTTTTTGAAATCATTAATCATATTTTTTAATAACCAAATTGTATTTGAAATGCTGCTAAAATGAGGGGCACATTGCACCTGGCATTATGAACTTTGCACATAATCCTAGAATCATGACAACTCATGAATTAAAAGCAAACAAATCACAATTATTTACTGTATATTTAATGTCACAAATTACACACACACTGACACAGTAACTCTGAGTGTGCATGGAAATTCACACACACACACACACACACACACACACACACACACACACACACACACGCACGCCCAGGCTTCTCAGGATCTCCCGTGCACCAAACTAATGCAAAGCCAAAGCACCTCTCTCATTAAGCCTAGCAAGAAGACATCCAGCTGACGTGAGTGTGTATGTGAAGGCTTGGACACACTTTACATGTTGAACGTCCGCAGCCAGCTGTGGACTTGTGATGGTTGCACGGATGCACATGCAGCTCTATACATGAGAGTGCACATATGTTTGTCTATTTATGCGTAGGAGAGAGGGAGAGCTGCTGATGGCCAGAGCTTCAGGTTAGCCTCGTATGCCGATCCAAACCACTCCCATTTTCCTCTGGTTTTCTTAATGATAACTTTAACCGCCTTGTGCGAGCGCGGGTAGCAAAGTTCAATCGACTGATACATACAACTACAAAACAACCAGTTCCAGTTCTTTTAAGTGTTGATATAGTACTCAAATGTCCCAGTACTTCATATTTTCCCTCATACACAGCTAGAACAAATTTCATACCATCAGTGTTACTAATTGATCATATACCTGATACTGCTTCTTCTTTTACTGACAGCTGTGTGGCGCGTGTCGACATGTCCAAGCTGCAAAGACAAAGCAAATAATTGTTTCTTTTGTGTCATGAGTCAGGGCTGACGTGTCAAACAACAACCCCCTCACACATTTATCATCAGACTTCTGATTGTTATAAAGTCACAATTGATTCACATGTTATGAACAATCTCACTTATTCATCAAGAAGTGTCTTCTTTTTTTCACAAGCTAATGTGCTGAGATTTGAAAATAAAATCCACCAAGCTGCAGCTGTGGTTTGAAGTTAGAACAAGTGGAGAGTGAAGGAGCGGGTGAAGAGGGAGATGATGAGATTTAAACAGGGAAGGAAAGGAAGGAGGAAATACAGGGGGTTGAGGGGTTTGGACCAAGTGTTTGGGAAGGACGGGGGCTCATATTGCTGGTTCGTTTCTGTCCCAGTGATTCACGCCGCCAGTACTGTGCGGCATTTGCATCAGCATGCTGCAGCGTGTTGTGCATTTATGATTAATGCATGTGGGCTCATTTATTTGTGTGTAAAATGTCTTTCTCTGTTTGCCAGTTGTCATTGATTTGAGCTTAGTATTAGAGAGACAGAGACAGTGAGAGAGAGCCCTAAGGCCCCATCTGCCCCTGAGGCCCTCCACTCAACACAATGCTTTCAGCCTATGTCTTTGTCTTAGCCTAGTTAACCCCTCACACCCTGTCATCCTCACTCCTTGCTACAAAGAGACACTCACACACTTTGAATAGGTTTCATTCACTGACAGCCTTGACAGGGTACATCTCTCTGCACATCAGTCTGCTGTTATTATCACTCAATGCTGTGGCCGAATTTGCTTTCAGTCACGACTTTTAATACAAAATGTAAGACATCTGTTCACTTAATGTTTTTAGTTTATTTTAGGACCTAATGACAAAAAAAGGAATAAGATTTGTTTAATCATTATTGCATTTAATTGTCTGGGAGAGTTGTTAGAGCACATTTTCCCACGTGTGCCACTAAGTAACGTGTGCTTTTATGTGTGGGTAAATGGTGCGTATGTGTCCACATACTGTACAGAACAGTAAGTAGCTGTCTGTGTTTGATTTCAGTTAACGGTACGTCCCAGCTGGTGTGTGCTTGCGTCTTTCGGTGTGTGCACAGGCACCAGCGGCGAGGCTCCACAGGCCAAACACGGGTGCCACGACCTACATAACCGTGGCGGTGCCTTATTGGCTAGCCACAGGAGGTTGACCACTGTGCTCCGCACTGCAGCAACCACCCAAGATCAGAGGGGGGAGCTCTAGGACTGAGACATACACGCTGTGCCTCTCCTCACAGCCACAAAATGAGGGCGGGGAGTGTATGTGTGTGTGTGTTTGTGTGTAATAGGGGGCGAGAGGTAAAGGATGAGGGTTGCACCAGGAAGGGAAGGCGTGTAAAATGAAAAGAAAAAGCTATTTCACCTCTCTCACAACTCGTGCAGACCCCGTTTTTCTGCTCGGCTGAAGGCGAGACATTTCCCTTCCTTCGCCTACCTCTTTTCCTGCCTCCTTCTCTCTCCTCCGCACTCCCCATCTCTGTCCCACTCTCCCGGCAGCCCTCAACTCTTTGTCTGTCGCCACTGTGGCCCTCCTGTTCGATGAAGGGATGGAGAGATAGAGGGTGGAGGAAGGTGGGGGGTTGCAGATGGAGGGGCGCAGTGAGGTCGGTTGAATGGTCTCTACCTATTAACATATTCCTTTTCCCCAGACCGACCGTCTTTCAGTTAGAGAATTTAATAAAGATGTACCTTATCAAGGAGCACTGATAAGACCAAGTACCACCACTAATACATAACAGTGCTGCTCAAAGCCCACTAATCTGCCCAGTGTGTGTATGTGTGTGTGCGCACATGTGTTGGTGTATGTTATTATGCTTGGGCACATTTTTACTGACTGGTATTATCAGCTTGAAATCAGCTGTCCAGCACAAGCCTGCACAAAGCACCCACTGCCGCTAATCACAAACAGGCACACACAAACAGACACATGCAAAAACAGTACCTTTCTGCGTCAGCTATCTAATAAAAAAAGATGGGGGTTGGCGGAGCAATACAAGTACTATGCTGTCATCATCACAGCTTTAAAGAGCAGATACCTTCACAAATGAGAATGAGAAAGAGAAAACAATTGAAATCCTTTGCTCGTGCCAGCCTTCAGCAGTGCGGCCTGCTCATCATGAAAACACACACACACACACACACACACACACACAAGATTACTTTGAGGCAGTGTGCGGCAGTGGAAGTGTGGCTATTATTAAAAAAACACTCCTACATGCATGCACGCTCAGTTTAACAATCTGAATCTCTATGAAGACATTACAGATTTTAAATCCCACAGACATCTCTGTTGCGCACACGTGTACACACGCCACACCTCTTGTGGTCACAATGAGGTCACTGTGTTGTATCTGGCAGGTGTTCTCTCCTCATCCCAATCTGTGGCCATTGGAGAAAGCACATAATAGACACCTGAGTGCTGGGATCTGATGCTAGCGCCGAGCTCATTAATGCCTCTCTCATTCTAGCTGTTCTGCATTGTGACGGCTTTGTGCATGTGTGTGTATGTCTGCCAGGTTTGAGAGCGCCTCTGTACACTTGCATGTAACACATGCATGCATGTGAATGAGAGTACACATGATTTTCTACTGCAAACTACTTTGAATGCAGCTGACGGCGGAGCTATATGCAACACGGTGCAATACACTTAGTGACAACTGCCTTAGATGTACTATTTCTCACCGTAACCTTTCCTTCATCCCTAATTACTGTTTCCCAGAAGTAGAGAGGGACAGAGGGAGAGAGGGAAACGGAGAGAAAGAGATTTATGCATCATGATGGCAAAGGAGCACACACACTAATGGCTCTTAATGGGCCTGAGGTGGCCGCAAGATGGGTGGATGAGAGAAGGAGGACATGGCGACCTCAGCTGAAGTGGTGGCACTTCACCACCCACCCACATGTACGCACACACACACACACACACACACACACACACACCTGCAGTACCTCTCCCACCCACTCCGGTGCACTGCTCTAAGGTGAAGAGAAAGGACACAACCTGGACAGGAAGTGAGATAAGGGGCTGCAGTGAAGTGTGGGACGGGCAGAGAGCAAACTTTGAGGGAGAATCTTGACAGACAGTGATCCCGAGTTGATGAACAGGAGTGGGAATTGGGAGGTAGTTGTTAGCATTTGGTTTGCGTTTGAGCATTTCACAGGCATTTGATTAAATGTCCCCTGAACTGCGCGGCTGCTGGGCAGACGCTTTATGTGTGTCTGTGTGTGAAATGTTATACGGAGCGCTGATGAAAGGTGACACGATGCAAAGATGACAGCGAGTCATAAGCCTATGCCGGGGCTGATTCATCTGTGTGTTTGTGTGTCTGTAGAGTGTGACAGAGACGGGAAGAAGATGTCACAGTGACAAGATGTCAATCAAAGGCAGGGTGGGGGTTTGTTTTATGAAAGCCAACTCTGTCCTTCCATTTTTCTCTTCTCTCCTCTGTTCATCCTTCCTTTTTCATCCCCGTCATTCCACCTGCGTGCTGATGGGGGTGTGGGGAGACGTCAGTGAGGGGGTGGGGGTTCGGTTGTGGCCTTTCTTCATCTCTCTTTCTTTCTACCTGTCCGTCTGTCCGTCTTCTCCATCTTTTAGTGTTTATCTTTCTGATGAGGGTTTGAATCCTGGTGGAGGATGGGTGCGTTTTCTCCTCCAGTCATGGATTGAGGCTGAACCCTCGATGTCCCCTCAGGGAGCCTGCATGGTGGGAGGATGGGATGGAGTGTAGATGTTGGGTTGGGGGATGAAAAAACATATCACTGCATCCATACATTAAAGAAATAATTCTGTCTCATTTCCTTCGTTCAGTCTCGCTGCCATTTTGTATATCTGTGTATCATTACTGAGACAACCGCTGTTGTATTGTTTGAAACCATGATACTTGTGTCTTTTTGGTACTGTACCAAATGGTACTTTTTTGATACTGAACTTAAAACTATATATACATGTTTTGCCACAACAAGAGGCCAAACATCTTAAATGTCCAAACCGTAGACAGTATAATAAAGATGGACGACATAACAGTTCCCCTAAAGTAAAGCCAAAACCTCTCGGTCCTCTCCTGGTGCTTGGCAGAAAGGACATGGGCCAAACTATAAAATCAAAGAACACGTCATATAAATGTTTCTAAAAGAAGGTTTCACTTGAAGTAGTTCTTATCACATGCATGATGCATGTTCAAGTGTCCATTTTTCCGACAAGTTTGGCTTTAATTAGTTATTTGATGCTATAAAAATGGGGTTTGACATCATGATTCAAAGTTGTGGGTGCCAATTGGTGTGCTCATGATCAATGTGCTGGGTAAACCTGCAGGAACTTAAAACCACAGAGATCTCTACTGCACAGCCTCTAGCTCCAAATGACGTTATCGGCACAAGATGGCAGTGGCCATATCCAGGATATTTTGGCATAATTTTTGTACAGTGGAAGTAAGTGGAGGCGCTTCATCTAGCTTGACATACAGCCTATAGTCCAAACACAAGCAGCTGTACAATAACTCCAACTAAACAAAATACAGTCCGAACTTCAAGAACTGTCCGTGACAAATCCTACCAATAAAATATATTCTAAATTGGTAAAATTGTATGTAAATCTGTATGACATTTGATTAAATATTTAGCAAGTAGGATTATCAATCTTATCTAGGCTTACGCCCAGGTAATCGGATTGTATTTCGACAACCAAAGGGATTATTGATGATTGTTTTTTCTTACACTGATATATGATTTTAACTAACTTAGTGAAAAATAATCTCTAGAAACTGAGACTGTGCATTTACAGATGTTTTTGGTGGAGTGATGCGTAGGCTTGCTGAGCCTCATAAATCAGCAGGACTAATGAGTGAATAATTATCATTAGTAATGAACCATTTAATAAAATCTAATAAATATATTACTACTGCCAATACTACCACTTATATCCTAATCAGAATGGTATTAGTAAGGTAAGAAAAATATTTTAACTGTAAAAATGTTTTTATTATTCAACCATAACTGGTTCACAATAATCAAAGATACTTAATTACTTTTAGAAATCTAAGACCTAATGGACAACTGCACATTGAAATCAAGAGGTCATTACGTAATCAAATTGTGCTTAAATTCCAAAAAGCAAATGGTGCAAATCTGTTTAGACTCTGGCACACATTGGTGTGCTATGTTACCCCCCAACCTCTCCTGCTGCCCCCTGGTGATCAGATCCCCAATGGGCGATCTGGAGCAACCACAATTGGACAATATGAAAATAGAAACAACCGCCAAACTCTAATCTGACCAGACATCCGATGCCAGGTTTTGCTACAGTTTTGATACACATTGCCACAGACACATTTTGGTTTGTCCCAAAAAAGTAAAAATGTTCGATTCCCACCTCAACTGCTGCTGTTGAACACTACAGCACTAACTAGTGAGCTATTAGTTTGCCCTCATCTCTCCTCTGTTGCCTCCCTCATGCCCTCTCTCTGACTCTTTTTCTCCCAGTGTCTCTTTTCTTGGCTGCGCCCCAATAATCACAACAAGCAGCTGTATCTTCAGAGAAATCGTGCCTTAAAATTGAGAGTTGTCCCCTCTCTCCCTCTCTCCCTCTCTCTGTATGTCTCTCTTTTTCTCTCTTTCACATACTCTCTTTCCCCCTCTCTTTCTTTCACACACTCTCCCCTCTCATCTCCTTTAGAGAGCTTTTGGACAATGATATCGCTGGAAACAGGCAGAGTCTGACAGAGTTGGTAATAATGAATTAAGTCTGTAGCCTGGCCCTGACTCTGAAATTTAAATTATAATTACTCCTGTGGGGATGGAAGGGGTTATTGCCAGAGAGAGAGAAATAAATTGAAGTGAAGTGCATTTCCACTTTGCTTTTAAGACACGCCGACATGCTACTCAATTTGGCCTCAGTGTAGGTTTTCTATGCATGTGTTTATACCTGAGTATTTGGGTGTGAACAAAAGCAGGAGTTTATGATTGTGCGTGTGTCTGTCAGTGTGTGCCCATGCCTCATGGCCCGGCCGTTGATCTCCACAGGTCTCCCTTTATCCCGCAGATTTACAGACCAGTTTTAACACAGTCATCATTCTTTCTCCTGCTTATTAAAACCTTGTACGTACAGTATTTCCCTTCTCATTTCAGAAGATCACAGAGCCATGTGACATCTCATGACTGTGTATGTGTCTGTATGGTGTGTGAGCAGGCAGGAAAGAGAAAAATATCACAGGGAGATAATGTGTGTGTGTGTGAGAGAGAGAGCGCAAGCCTGTGTGCTTTACTTCTTGTTGTACAATGAGTTTGTTTATCCATCAAGAGTGTTACTGTTTCCCCCCTCTTTTGTTTGGATATTGTGTAAACTGGACAGTGTGTGCGCTAAGGTCAGTGTGTGTTTGCCTCATAACTATGATATCTCTGCCAGTCACGCCTCACTGGATGTGTCTACTCACCAACAATGTCTCTATTATTATTATATTATCAGCTTAATATGCTCTCTCTGTCTCTTTTAAAGCAAACAAACACACAAGCAGAAGTGTAGGGAGTATACAGTGAGCCCTGTAAGGACACATTCATATCAATAAGATCACATCACATGCAATCGTGCATATGTGTTGTAATTTCTTGCACATTTTTCTTCATTTTGTATCATTTCTGGGCAACATATAGGTATTATATCTACCATGATATGAGACTGGACATCGTCTTAGATTTTGGATATCGTAAGTTTTGTTTTTCCTTGTTTTAAAGGCTACATTACAGTAAAGTGGTGTAATTTTCTGAACTTACCAGACTGCCTTATATCCACATTTATGATGAGTATTCGCCAAAAATCTGTGTTAATATTTTCTGAAAGCACCGATGGTCAACCCTACAATATTGATATCAAGGAATATTTGATCAAAAATATTGTGATCTGTAATTTTCTCTATTGCCCGACCCTATTTTGTGTATATACATGTCACACATAAACAGATATTTGATTGCTGTAGGAATTATATGTTTCCATATTGCACATATTTCACTTTTGTGTCCTCTTTGGCTGATACTAACGCTGCTATTCACACACACATTCACTCACTTAACATCTTTTTTTTTCTTACAAACATTGTGAGAAAGCAATTCAGGGAGTGACTAAAAAAGCAAATACCAGCCAGCTTTTTCTATTAAATCATCCAGACTGACAGTGCATACCAGCGAGCATATCAGCTCATACAACAATACACATTAAAATGTGTTAAAACTGCATTCAAAATTCTGCATATTAGGAATGGAGAGGTGTCTAAATCCTATACAAAGATTTTCTGCCACAAAAGTTTCAAACTGACACTCCACTATTTGTAGTTAATGCACAAAACACCATGTAAAACTTTTATCTAAAACACCTTAGGTAACTCTTTCACTTTTGAAAGGAAAAGTTAATGGAAATGCACAAGAACCCTTAGTTGATTGCAAAGGTGGACAGTGTATAGTTATACTTTTGGACATTTAACATTTAGAAGTTTGGCCTCATTGTTTGTTAGGAATAGATATTATGCTGAGAACTATTCTGTTATCATATTATTTTTTTGTGATGTTCTACAAGTTTTTTGCTTTAACTTATCATAATGAAGTAAATATTTGTTGCACATTGTAATAGCTGGAGAATAATGATGTCATCAGCATTTAGTTTGTTTCCCTTTAAGTCTGCCTTTCACCATGCAGCTCTGTCTGCCAAACTCCAAGGAAAATGAAAGGCGATTTACAGCACAACGTCCACCATTGTGCAACCAAAACAGGAAGAAGATGGTGCTTTTGTTTTCCCTGGTAGAAATTGCCAGCTAACCAAAGAGTATTGGTGTAAACAGTGGACAGTGGAAGGACGTCATCCGAGGGAACAGAAAGCCTACAATGTCTCTGTCTACAATGACCCCTATTTGTCTGACTTTTATCTGTGTACTGTTTTTACTTGCTGTAACATTTTACAGTATATTTCTGCATGGATCATCTTTTTTTCCCAAAATCAGTGAACTTCCATTTTATCTCCAAAGTACAAAGTCAAGAAACATTTTAAACAGGCAAGCACAGCTATTCAGTGAAATTAAATACAGCCATTTGTCCTCTGTTAGACTCGACCATAAATGCCACCTCTACATTTTCAAATCAGGACTGTTAAAGGACATATTCTACCCTTTCCTCTCTTAATGAAATGTCAGGCTATTGACCTGCCTTTCTCTTCAATGCTAATTTGGCGTCCTCTTTGACCCCTCACCCCTGTTCCTGTGATGTTTCAGAGCCTGTGGAGGTCATTCCACAACCTGAAAGATGTCGGTGTGGTGCAGGTAAAGGTCATCAGGGCTGAGGGACTGATGGCAGCAGATGTCACAGGTAAGGCAATGACCTTAAGTCCAAACAACAGGACTACAACCTCTCTAGTTCTCGTGTACATTGTTAAAAGTTAGTCCATTCATTTTTCACTCCTGCATTCATGCTCATATATTCATACGCTTAAAAATAATCTGACAAATAGGCCTCCGTTTTTGCTGCTGTTTTGCAATTTCTGTTACTATCAGAGTGAGCATTACAAGGCATCTGGTAATAATAATAATACTATCAATAACGAGTATTTTTTTGTTTGCTTGAAATAACTTTTGCTTGAGTTTTGCATCGAGACGCTGAACAATTCCTGTGGCACATTTTCCTCCACCAGCAATCTGCCATAAATCTAGCCAAAGATAAAGTCAGAGTGTAGTGTTGGTTTAAGGGATGATCCTGCGCGAGAATCCTCAGAGAGAGTTAAAGTCTACTTTGTACAGGACGCTAAATTTGTCTCTGAGTTTTTTTAGAAAAGATGCAGGCTGCTCATTTGAATAATAGAGAGAAAGTACATATTTGAACCAACAAATCTCTCTCCCTCCTCCTCCTCCCTCCTCCCGCTCTTTCTCTGCTTGCTCTCTCTGAATCCTCCATTCTCCATTAATTCTTACTTTTAATTAGGTCTACAGTGGACAGGCCTAGTTTTTCACTCTGTATTATCTAGTAGAGAGAGAAGGAAGAGTGTGTGTTTTTGTGTGTGTGTGTGTGTTTGAGAGGGAGAGAGAGAGAGAGAGAGAGAGAGAGAGAGAGGGAGAGTCTAGAGTTTTTCCCCATTTGAAACAGCCACAGTCCCATTAGCCAATACAGAGTGGAGCTGGTTGATTTGGGTTATTGCGTGGAGCGACCGGAGCAGCCGGAGTGCAGGGCTAATGGCTCTCTGGCTCTTGTATTTCACTTGGAGCAGAAATTTGCTCCGTGACCTCGTTGTAGAGCTCATCATTCAGTCTGAGCTTCATGGATCCTTCCCAAAAAAAGAAAAAAATAACACCCCAAAAGAGTAAAACTGGAAATATAATGTCTAGTGGCTGTTTGTTTGCCTTTCACTTCGCCTCTGTCAGTTTGACGTGGTCATAGAGAACATGTTTGATTTCAGAGTAGTGCCTCTACAGCCTGTGGTGATTTGAAATTATTTCTACAGGCTTACTGCAGAGTTAAAGTGCAGCATGTCTTTTGGTGCCAACATGGGCTAATACTTTACATGAAAACTACCAAGACTGAATAAAAAACAAGTGTAAAAAAAGTGTTGAATTCAGATTTGAGATCCCACAACAAACATGTTTTTTGAATAAGACTGACAAAGAATAAGGTTCTACTTAAAATGTGAAGATTTAAATTCACTGGAGAAATGTTTTTTACACATGTAAATTTAATTATTTCATGTGTTTCATGTGGAAAACCTTGATTTCATAAGATAAAAACAATACAGGTGAGGATGTTTCTGCATGGGATTGACTAGTTGTCAACCTTTAATTTAATTGTCAACTAATTTTATAAATGATTAATTAGTTTGGGTAAATTATATAGAAAAAAAGTAAAAATTCTCTGATTCTTCCTCTTAAATGTGAATATTTTCTGGCTTTCTCACTCCTTTATGACAGTAAACTGAATATCTTTTACATCTGAGGATGTCATCTTGAGCTTTGGGAAATACTGATCGACATTTTTCACCATTTTCTGACATTTTATAGACCAAACAACTAATTAACCAAGATAATAACTGACAGATTAGTCTATGATGAACTACTTGTAGCTCTTTATATATTCACAAAAAACAAATCACGTGGATTTTCACACATGATTTTTTTTGCTGTAGCCAAAGAGATCGAGAATTTAGGCAGTCAAATGTGTAATCTTATTTAATTTATACTTTCTTGCAAGCACCAAAGTAAAAAGGATTTTTCTTTTGTTACCCCAGAAAACGTTTTCTTTCAGCCAGTCTAACCCTTCAAAGATAGATACAGAAGGTAAAGTGATATGGATAACCAACAGGCAAAGGGGTTGTTTCTAGATGGCGTATTCCTGTTTTGAGTCTGACGCTGTGTGCGTGTGTGCGTGTGTGCGCGTGTGTGTGTGTGTGTGTGTGTGTGTGTGTTGTGTGCCTGTGTGTGTGTGTGTGTGTGTGTGTGTGTGTGTGTGTGTGTGTGTGTCACTGGCAGAAACAATAGCTCTGTAAGAGCCACATAAGAGCCCTCACCACATGAACACCCTTTTTTAACAGCCCAGACCAAGAGAGGGTCAGGAGCAAGGTGAGAGAGAAACAGACGGACAGACAGACAGAGAGAGGGAGGGAGAGAGAGAGAGAAGAGGTCAGCGAGAGAGAGAGAGAGTTCACAATCTCTCTCCCATTCACGCTGCCTGTCTCCTCGCCCGTCTTTCTCCCTCCTCTCCCCACCCCTCTCCCCCTCTCCTCTCCTCTCTGGCCATCTCTCTCTCTAATTGAAGTGTTTTTGTGGAGTAGCTCCTCTCCAGCCCGAGTAGGATAACTGAAAATAGTCTCTAAAACCAACAATCCCTTTTGTCTGCCAGCCCTTGTCCCTCTGAGTGGATGCTATACTGTTAGAACATTTCAATAGTAACACACACATGGACACACGCACACATGCACTTCCAGCGGCAACACCGTAGCTCGTGTAGACATCATTCTTTTCTCCCTCAATATCAAAACAAAACCTGTCAGTAAAGTGTAGATTTCCCGCCGCATCACTTGACACAAGGAGAAATATACTCGTATAGCCTATTAAAAGGTATGGAAAATAAATGCAACAAAAATGTGATTTACATTTTAAAGTCTGAATCATAATTAATTGTGATTATACAGCAACATGAGAGCGTGCGCTCCCTCTCCAACCTCAAACTCCTCACTAATTCTGAGCTTCCTGCGAGGCAATTACAGCGCGCTCCCTCGTCTCTGTACTGTATTCATCCTCCACACTTATCTTAGGGCACACTGAAATGAGTTTGAGCCCACTCCTAGCTGCAAACCCTCTGCCAGCGCCACAGAGATGGGACCCAGAGGGGGGGAGGAGCTTTGCTCGGACATTACCTGGATGATCTCTGAGTGGCGCTCAAACCTGAGCGTGTAATTGGTTAAGACAGCCGCCTCTGGTGCTGGCGGCCAATAAGGTGAAAGTTCATCACCAATGACAACTGGCTCTCTGCGGCAACACAGCCTGCCATGTCATTAAAAACAGAATATTAGAGAGAAAATGGGGGAGGGACAGGGTTGTGCAGAAATAATTTCCATCTCTTAATTTGGATGATTGCATTTAAATTTAATCAGACTTGATTTGTGGGGACAACATTATAATCGTTTATGCTATGGAGGCTCCGGATGATTAAGGAGGATTTCAAATATTCGCTAAATATTGAATGAAAACTGCTGCCAAAATATATTCTTGTTACTTGTTTGCAATTTGAAAATACATTTTTTTTTGTGTTTATTCATGACGGGCACAAGGAGGAATTTGCATTTTAATACAACACATGCGCGCCATGCAAACAATTGATATGGCTGACAAAGTATGTAGACAGAGAGAGGGAAGTAGGCTGCTGAGTCCATTGTCTTTTGTCTATTTTAATGTATCTTGTTTTCTATCGTAGGAGTCATAGCTGTCAATATCCACTTCAAACACTCTACATCAATAGGGCCCCACAAACAGATCTGAAAGGCAACACCTACGGCTCAGCATTGATCACGGTGACATTTACTTTGCACACCCACTAAATGTCCTGCCCTTGTCACAACATTTGAAGAAAATCACACCAATCAATGACACTCACACACACACAGACGGACACGCAGAAGCACAAACACAAATGTGGTGAAGGGGGGGGAGGGACTTTGAACTCAATCCCAACTTTATTGAGTCTTATTATGCAACATGGCTGCTTTTCTCATATTTCAACACTCTCAATATTTTCCCCAGGAATTCGTGTGGGACAATTTTTTATTTTTTAAACTTCCTGACCCAGTCTTTTCAAGTGATAAGCTTGAACAAACAGCGCAACGGCTCCCAACAGTTTTAATAAAAAATAATGATCAAAGCCAGAATTAAGAGTTTTGTTGTTTTTTTAGTTCATTCCGAGGCAATGCAAGGGAGGTGGGCTAGCAGGCATGGGGAGCTGGTCTCACTCCTTTCTGTGTACAAAGAAATTGAAATGTGAGATGTTAGTAAACAAATGGAGAATATATAGGACATTACTGGTTTTGATTATTATAGTACAGTATTCTATTCTCAGGAGGAGGAAATAACTCTGTGATTATGTTTATTTCTCCTCTCGGTCTCGCTCACCCTCTCTCTTTGCTCAGTTACGTAACTGTAGTAAATTCTGAATTGAAAGTTTTGCTGGAATGAATTAGCATTAATGAATGTGATTTATCGTGAACCATATATCATATCTGTGTTTTATAACATCTAAGGGTCTTTAAAGTTCTCACATAGTGTTGTAAAGTTTTATCTTTTGGCAGCCACGGGCTGCTTAAATCATTTCATACATGAGTCATGGGTTTTGGAAATTATTTATTCTATCAGATAAATTGGATATATGTTTTGTTATTATTACTGTTAAGTTTTACTTGATGAAAGCGGTATTTCTGCCAGTGTATAAAACTTCAGCAGTGATTTCTCCGCAATAAATACAACTTTCAATTTTAATATCCAAAAACCTTTCCGTTGTTTTTATTAATTTACATAGCTGTCAATAGAACAAAGCAGTAAGGATGAGGAGGGAATGTTTTCTGTCATTCCTTCATCATTTAATTTCTCATGTTGCTCTTGCTTTTCACTCATTTTTTCACCACTGTCTCGCCGCTCGCTCGGAATCGCTAATCATGGACCGGCCATGTTTCTCACACCCCTGCTCGGCTGTCTTTATCTTCCACTTTGAACTTCTCTGGCCTTCAGAGCCACATGGCCGTCTGTGTTCTCCGCACCATCCATTCTCAAAGTCTTCTCTCTCCTTTCACTCTCCCACCCCCTCCTTGTGACTGCCCAGGGCAAAGTTGTCCTGGAGCTTATCTTCTAGTTGTCCATGTTCCCAGGGTGTTGATAGAAACAGCTTGCAGCTGTTCCACTGATATACTGTTTTATAATATATATGGCATCAGGGCTAAAAATGAAAGACTCATATTATTACAGCTCTGATAACCAGAGTATTGGAGCTGTCATGTGGTGTAAAGGGAGGAGGATATATACTATCTGTCTTAATAATATGAGGGATTGGAGATAGACAAAAGCTGTTGGAATTACTTAAGATTCTCGCTTTCCTTGAAACCTCAAGCCAACAAAAGTTTAGTGTTGACTGTATTTATGTCTTTCCTTTTACTGAGAAGGTTATTCTTGTATGATTTTTTTTTCCTTTTGCTCGCCAGGTAAGAGTGACCCATTCTGTGTGGTGGAGCTGAGTAACGATCGGCTGCAGACGCACACAGTCTACAAAAACCTCAACCCAGAGTGGAACAAGGTCTTCACTTTGTGAGTGGCTTTTACAATGCTACATGTCACACATACAGTTTGTGCTCACTGCAGACATTAAAATATTTTATTTTAATTTTATTTTTTTAACTGACATGCATCTTTGAATTAGAGACTGGTTAAGTCAGAGCAACAGTCTTATGAAATAAAATATATATAATTAATTTTTTTTCAATTTATAACACCCAACATTTTTTTTTGTGTGGGTGTGTTTTAAAATTAATTCTGAGAATTAAAAAAATATATTCCTCACAGTTTATAGTGTGGAATATCTTTTTATCAATGAACTTTTGAACTTGAAAAAATATTAATAATAATTGTTAATACAATGCTAATTTAATAGTGTTTTAAAATGTGTCATATCCCTGCAGTGAGTCCTAGAATAAATGAAACATAAGAGAAAAAAGAGGCTTATCACATTTTCCTTTCTTCAAAAAATATATATATATTTTTTCTTTTAGGTATATAGCTACACCCAAGCGGTAGTTAAATGTTGATGTAGATCTAACTCTGCATAATTTCTCTCATATATGTTGGCATTTCATTCCAGAGTAGAAACTTGTGAATTCCCACTGATGGGGCAGGTTAATTTAGTCATTCTTTGAGCGCACGTCTTTCTCATAGCCTCCTTTCTATACATAACATCAGCTATCTTCTTACTAGCCTAGTTTTCAAGAGATGACACGTCTGAGGATGATACTTTAGTTTTACTGAGCTCATGCAGTAATGTAGTGCAGTGTCACATAAAGCATATTAACGGTGATTTTTAAACATTTATGTAAATGCAATGGAGGGTATTCAAATGCAAAGCATATGTTATGCCTCGTACAGCGTTTCAGATTTCAAATTGTTTTCTAGAGACATTTAAAGAAGCTTTTGTAAGACGTAATAACTTTCACACTGTTTCAGTTTCTAACCCATATATCAGTTTATATGTCACTGATGTTGTCTTTGTGTGTGGTCCAGTAACGTGAAGGACATCCACTCGGTGCTAGAGGTCACTGTTTACGACGAGGACCGAGACAGAAGTGCAGACTTCCTGGGGAAAGTGGCTATTCCTTTACTAAATGTGAGTCAAAGGCAGATTTCTGTGTGTGTGTGTGTTTCTTTTTCTTTCCCTTTGGGGATAATAGAGAGAACATAGAGGAACGGAAGGAATGAAAACACACACGGTGGAAGATATAAAAAGCAGAGGTTATTTTTGCAACTCCACAGATGAGACTGTTATTATTTCACAAAGAGAAATAGATGACAGGAAGGAGAAAAAATGGAAGAGAGGCTAAGAAAAAAAGGAGAGATTGATAGGTGAGAAGAAAGAAAGTGAAGGGATGAGAGATGATATGAAAATGACACTGATCGAGAGATGGAACGATGCGATTTATAGAAAAAAAGAGAAAGAAGAATGTCTGTTACATTTGAAAAAATATAGATAGCCTGTGAAAGTACTGTGTGTCTAATATATCCATGCTCTGCTGTACAGTATGATTCCCCAGGATAGTTAATTTCTGTTTGACAGAGCCGAGCTGCAGTGGGTAATGAACAGGTACTTGTCAGAGTTGCCACAGTTGTTTTGGGTTCCCTGTCAGCGCCAGCAGCTGGGGTTCAAAGGTGGCCCGGGGAGCCGATTCAGCCGGGTATTGCCAGACAGACGCCTGTCATGTCCCTCTCCCACAGATCCAAAATGGAGAACGCAAAGCCTACGCCTTGAAAAGCAAGGAGCTGACAGGGCCAACAAAAGGGGTCATCTTTCTCGAAATAGACGTGATTTTTAATGCTGTAAGTCTTTCTTTAGCTTTTTTTGATTCTCCTCCCTGTTTTTTTTATTTTGCCCCCCACCCCCCATTATCCTCTCTATCCATCCCTCCCTTGTCCTCTCCAGCACCCCCCCCCCCCCCCCCCCCCCCCCCCCCCCCCCCCCCCCCCCCCCCCCCCCCCCCCCCCCCCCCCCCCCCCCCCACACACACACACACACCACACACACGCTGCTGTTGTCTTTATTTTGTTTGCCCCCCCACCCCCCTTCGCTTCCATCTCATCCCTCGTCCCTTGTCCCTCGTCCTCGTTTTGGCTTTAATTATCGAAGACTCCCTCTCAACAGCCTTTGTTCGCCCATTCACCATCGCTGTGTGTGTCCTATAGCGGCCATCTTACAGCTCTCTCTCTCCCGCTCTCTCTAGCCTCTGACATGGGGCACGCTCTACGCATGTGCTGCCAGTATCATTACACATTGTCTGAGAAAAACCTTCAAAATGATTAAAAAATATTGTTACTCGCTGATTGATTGACATAATTTCTGATTTATTTATGTGTATTATTTTAAATGAGTGTGATCCCACTCTCACCGTTTGCTGTTTATGATGCTGTGTGTGTTCACTCCATCTCCAGGTGAAGGCTGGTCTCAGGACGCTGATTCCCATTGAGCAGAAGTATATCGAGGAGGAGCCCAGAGTGTCCAAGCAGGTACATCAGCAGCCAACACTTATCTTTCACCACTCCGCCTCATTTTTATCTGTGTCCACCACTGTACCCCCTGTTCTGCTTAACTGTCTGAAGCAAAACCAACAAGCCTGGAGAGTGGCATCTTGTAAACCACAACAACTGTGTGGGCAAGATACAACAGGATGATTGAAGGAAAAACAGCATTTCGTTTCTTTTTTTTCTCTCTCTCTCTTCCCTCCTCTCTCCCTTCTCTCATTTCTCCCCCCCTCGCATCCACTCTGAGTGGTGAATAGAAATGTCAAGCTGTCAGCTCTGGGGTGCATAAGTAGATTGGCCATCCTTATAGTTGGCCCTCTTTGCCACTGCTGCTTTGCACTTCATTGTCACGCCGCTCAGTGTGGCGGCACCACAAAGGGCTGAATAGTAGGGGCTGGCCCACATCAGACATGTCATATGAGTGACCGTTTGGGCTCAGCAGTCAATGCTGCACCATGCACAGCCGAGCACAGCGCGCACACACACACACACACACACACATGCACCAGCTCCCATACCACGCTTTTGTCAGCCTTCCATCTATTCCCTCCTTTCCTCACTGTTCCTGCCTTCTCTGTTGCTCTCTGTCTCGGCCCGCTCTCCGCTTTCCTCCCTAGTGCAGAATCTTTTTTTCATCTCCATTTCACCTCTGACTCACAGAGATGACCCATGTCAGCGTCTCGCAATGATGATGTCACTGGCTGCTTTAGAGGGATTGCCCCGTGAGGACTCTTTTGTGTGAGAGCAGCTCCCCTGCTGTTGCTTGCTGCTTAGAGTGTGTGCGCACGCATGCACACACACACACACACACACACACACACACACACACAAACACACACATAAATGAAAAAAAAAACATAAGCTGCCTGCCAAACAAAACCATTTAATTGTAATTATGACATTTGACTTAATAAATGACTCCACTACATTTCTAAGTGTTTTGAAGGAATAACTCAAGGCGCACTTTGAAATAATTCATGAAAAATGAAATATTCTTATCAAGGCAGTTATGGCAATAATGAGCCAAGAAGAGTGCAGCATGTACATCAAGTGCATGCGCTGAGGAACGTGGAAATGGATGATTCACAGTCTTGCTGTCCTCAGGGTCTGTGTGTCCCCAGCAGGACACCATACAGTCATCTTCAGTTTGGCAACAAAAAGCTTCACATAATTATACATAGAGAAGGAGGAATCCTCCTCTCATCTAGCATCAAAGCAGCCAAGCCACCCCTAACCACATGCAAATCCACCCGGAAACACACATGCATACAGACAATAGACTTTACTGTGGTGCAACAAACACATACAGTATAGCCACAGAATACACACATTGAAACACACACACACACAATTTTCCAAAGAGTAAAATAATGGCCTAGAATTTTTTGAACAGTGATCTGCAGAGACAGTTTGTCCTTTGGGAGCACTTTCTCCTGGTGGTGACCTGATTGGGTGGTTGGCGTTCTGCGCTGCTGTTATGCTATTCCCTGAATGGTTGGCAACCCATGGGGAGGACAGCAGTTAGCCAGTTCTCTCTCATATCTGGCCAAAATGCGCAGAGAACCCTCAGGGAGGAGAATCCAGGGACTGTGCTGGAAATTGTTATTATTGTACTTAACTTTATCACTGGGAGAATGGAGTTAAAGAAACATTGTGAGTCAGCTTGTCACACTTAAAGCAGCCGTTTGTCCCGTACGCTGATCCACATCCATATATAGCTATCCAAAGACTGAAAACACCCCGACGTCCTCATGGTGTCCTCGGTGCTGTAATGTTGTAACATTGGAGCCAAAGTGAGGTCAAAGCTGCAAATCTCAAGTTGTAAAAACTTAATACTCCAGTTAACTTTCCAAAGTGACAGCAGAGTGAGACACAATGGGGTTTGAACCAACCATATTAAGACTTACTGTCACTTTAACTAAGGTGCTAATTGTATGATGTAACATGTTTACTTACTCAATTGTGATGAATTCACTCCATAAATAAACATAAAAGAGGGAAAACTGACCTCTTTAACAGTATGTCCTTAGCTGTGCTTACGTCTGTAATAATAATGTTGCTCCTGTTTACTTTGTCTTTGGATAAAACTTTCCAAACATTACACATGTGCACCTTATGTGGAAAAATCACAGACCTTGATGTGCTAGTGTGTTTTTTTACAATTACACTCTGCTGCCTGTCACATTAAGTCACACCAGATCTTCACGTATTCACACAACAACATGTCATTAAGTCTATTTTTACTGAGTGTATATGTTTACACTCTGTATCTACAACTGAAACAGTGGAGTGATATGTATTTAACACCATGTTTATTCCATGCTACAGCTTGTTTCTGACCTTAAGCTCTCACTTGTTTTCATTTTTATGATCAACTGTTTATTATCACTTTTAAATGCAAACACTACAAAATGGAAATGAAAATGCCATACATTGTATTGTGACAAATTAAACTGGAAAATAGATAAATCCTGATCATAATGAACAATAACATAAAAGGAAACTTACATGACATCACACCGGAGCACACATGTGTTTTAACATTCACTTGTTTTGTTCTTGTCTCCTTTCTAGCTGTTGTTGCGCAACTTCAACAGAGTCAGACGCTGCATCATGTTCCTGATCAACACAGGCTGCTACATCAACAGCTGCTTCGAATGGGACTCTCCACAGAGGAGCATCTGTGCTTTTGTAGTACGTAGAGGTGCACTTACAAGTACACGGATAGTACCTTAAATTGAAACATATCACACACAAATTTGCACAATTTCTCATCTTTTTTTGTACAATTACTCTATTGCCACAAAGATTATTATGCTGTATTATTATTTATGGGGTGTGTTAACAATTTAATGTAGAGAAAAGACAATCTCATGTAGTTGGACCTGCTGTTTTGTCAGAATAATTACCTCACACTTTTTGAAATTAAATGAACCCCACTCACATTTTTTACCGATTACACTTTTAATGCCAGTTAACATCTGCACGCACACGCAGCAGGAGAGCAACATGTTCACAGAGGCTGTAGGACCATTTCTGCTAACAAAGTATGGATCCTTCACTGGTAATTGCACACTCTAACACGAGGGGTTGTTGATGTCTCAAGCACATTTAAGTACATTCCCACACTGTAACGCCCCACTACAGACTGTTACTCACACACTCAAATATCTTGATATGATAGTCTCCATTAAGTCCCTTTTCTGGCTTTGTATTTAATGCACAAGCACACATGGTATATACATGGCACGTGTGTGTTTTGGCACTCAGTTGCTGGGGATAGAGTGGAGAGTTGGTGTTGCAGCCTAAACACTGTATTATATGAGACCCTCAGACATTGAAATACTTAGAAAATGCAGCTATAATCTATTGAAGTGTGACAAGCTGTTCCTGCAGACAGTGGAAATGGCAGCTTGTTTCTCTCTTCTCCCATCAGCCTCCTCTTCATCCTCTCTCTCTCTCTCTCTCTCTCTCTCTCTCTCTCTCTCTCGCTCTCTCGCTCTCTCGCTCTCCCTCCTGTCATCTGTGTCTGGTATTAAAAGGTGAAGTGTAATTGGACAGCAGAGCTATCAGTAAAATACATTCTCCTGCAGGGCGGTGAGTGGCTGCATGGAGGTTCCTACCCTAAAGATGACAGAGCAGGCATTTAATCCTGTCTGGTTTAGTGTCCTGACTTAAGTAGCTACAGGACAGGTGGACCCGCCCCGCCCCAGCCCTTTACCATGGGGGCACTAAGTGTCTCGACAGCAGACATTAGACATTAGCAGCATTTGGCTGTCTGACACCAGTTCCATCTCTGCAGAGGCTGCATGTATGTGTGTGTGTTTGTACAGCAGGTCACAGTGTCATCACAAGACATGGGTCAGAAGAGACATAGTATTGATCAGTTAACATTTTCTCTGTGTGTGTGCGTGCGCAAGCGTGGTCATGTGTGAGCCTGGCGTGTGTGCGTACGTTTGCATTTTCTCTCATGTAAGGCTGAAGTGGGCGTGAACCCCCCTTATCTTTTAGAAATAAATGAAAATGTCAGACAAAAAAAAAATGTCAAGGAATTCACGGAAAACAAGGCCACCTCAGAATTGCCAATCTACATGGTGAATAGAGAAGGGAGGATGCAACCTTGGATAGCGCAGCCTCTATGTCAGCACACACAAACACACATGCACATGCTTCGTATAGCCCTTCACCCTTTTTGAAAACACAGTGTATAGTACATCCATTTCTGAGTAACAGTGCCGACTATTCATATTCTCATTGTACTCACTTAAATTCAAAGTATTCAGATGACGATAAAGGATGTATCTAGGCCAAGGACGTAGCGTTTTATAGTTTATAGAAAGTCTGAAATTTAGGTGTCATTGTGCTTTTCCTCTTCCCCCCCCCTCCTCTCTCGCTCTTTTGGGAGTCTGTTATCGTAGGAGTGTGCACTTAGCTAAAAGCATCAGAGTATTTAGGGCCTCTCCTCTACACAGGTACTCCCTCCCTCCCTCCCTTCCCTTCCATTTCTTCATCCCTCTCTCATTTCTCCCTCACTTTGAGAGGCCTCTTAATCACTTCGCTCATCTCTTTAAGTGGGTTTTTATGGGGGGCCATCTGGCCAAGGTGGTGCGTTCATGAAGGTGTACGGCTGTGTGTGATTATGGGCATGTGTGTCTGTTCACATGTGCACGTGTGTTTCTGTCTGGCTGTCTTTCTAGACAGATGTTACACTTAACTTTCCAACACGGCTGTAGCTACAGAGGCGGAGTTGTGGGCAATTCAACCTCTAAACTTACAAATGTGTGCACTTCTTAACTGCTAAGTAAGCCAGAGGGGAGGGGGTTTAAACGCGCTCATATATTTGTGGTATTTTGTGAACGCAATAGTACATCAAAATGCAGTTGTCATACTGTGCCACTTTACAGCGTTTCCTCCATAAAAACGCTCAAAATTTTCTTCATGGTCTCTTACTCTCCTTCTGCCCAAGTCTGAAATGCCAGCCGCATGTACACATCGCCCATTAGTGCCAGCTGTGATTAGTGTGTATGTTGTGTGTGTTTTGTGTGCATGTGAGAGAAGAGAGATTTCGCATAGTCTCACATGCAGCCTTTCTCTCTCTCTCACACCCACACTGCTGTCACCCACCCATCCCAACAGTGAATCAGCCACCGTGGCAGCTTTGCCTGAGGCGTTGGCACAATGGACGGGACTGGAGTTACCTCCTGTCCTGCATGATGGGTGGTGTCTGTGTATGTGTGTGCGTGCATGTGTGTGTGTGGGTGGGTCTCGGTGTCTCCGTCTCCCTGTCTCGGGGTTAAGCGTCTGCTTCCTCTCTCCACACCTGCAAGCTGAGTGTCTCTCCCTTCTATCTGTCCATCCATCCCTGTTCCTCTTTATCTCTCCCTCCCCTCTTCTCCCTTTGCCTTCTCTCCCGGAGAGTCGAGGCCATTGTGGGGCTGAGCGGTGTTGGGTTCTGTTCTCCTGCTGCTGCCAGCTCTCCCCACGGCCCCTGCAAGACAAGGCTGTTATTGCCCCAGGGACCACAGGCCTCAGCAGCTCTTCCTCCAAACAAATTTGCTGTAACTTTATCTGCAATTGGGCCCTGAATTGGGAGCAAATAGAGGCAGCTTTGTGAAGCTCAGGGAAGGGCGAGGGCAGCGAGCTGGGGGTTGTTGGGGAGGCAGGGGAAATGATACTGGGCTCTTTTATGTCAGGCAAAGTAGGACTCTTATCAGGAAGAGAGCCCAGACAAGGGAGCTACTTCTAGAGGAAACTGGAGCACCTATCACCTGCTTTGCATTTAGATAAAAATTCACCCTGCTGAAATAAAAAAGGGAAAAAAAGCAAAGACAGGTACAGAAGCAACTATTGGAGTGTGTGTGGGTGCGTGTGTGTGTATGTGTGTGTTTGCACATGTCTGGCAGTTTGATACACATAGACACACACACACACACACACACACACACAGTGCAGAGACGCCATAGCAGTCAGTGGTACACACCACTCCAGGTCTCTTTAAATTGCTCCTTTGACTCCTCTTCAAAGAACCTGTCTAACTTTTAAAAGTTTTAAAGTCGGGAGTTCGTCTTTGCCCACAGCAAGGGACAGCTTTGAAAGATATACTTTCACATTTTACTGCTCTCCTGATTTGCAAAATGAATGATAGTTGAAATATAGTGGCATGACTAACAGAGAATACCAAGTCAGAGTTTAATCACCAGAGATAGAGACTCAACAGAAAATGTGTGAGGCCTTTTGTTGAGACATCAGGGACTCAGCATCCTCACTTCTCGTAGGTACTCGTGTGCAGTTTCATCACCGTGGCCATAAAATGGTGGAGGCTTTGTTTTAATTTTTCATGTTATTACAAAATGACTGGCTTCGACACACCAGGCTTAGTCATTCGGGCTGCTTTTTTTATCGGATGAACAGCATTAATTGTGCTGTGGATCCAGGTTCTGCAGGAGTACAGCAGGGGGCAGTCTAGCACCACTGAATGATGGGTAGGTCCGTTCACAAACAGGACACAGTCTCCCTCCCTCTCCAGTTCCCTCGAACTTAACAGTTGCTATCTGGCAACACTTAGTGCCAGCATGGAAATTGATGTAAGAGAGATAAAGGGGAACTCTGAAATCCAAACTTCAGTTTCACTCCACTGAGACAGAGCAGGGGGAAAGTTAGCCTGGTGTGTGGTTAATGTAAGCCAAAGTACTGAATATTACCCTCCCACAGTGCCGCGGCTCAGAGCCGTAAGGACGCGGGTTGTGTTTTGAAACAAATAATGCAAGATACAACTCTCAATGTGCCGCACTGAGTGCTTGAATAAATCATTTTGACTTCTCCATTTTTTTCCTTTAATATTAAGAGAAAGCATCTATAACTGTAATGAAATCCAACTACAGAGACTTGTCAAAATAACTTAATTTACTGATTTTGTGTATTGGTATTTTAGCCAAAACATTACAAATTATGCTGTCGTGATTTTTCTTTGTTCATGTTTGTGATTGTCTATTTTAATTATACATCACACTTGAATTTCGGCTTGTGCTTAGATGTGAAGTTTGCCCAGTTCAAATGTAGCCTATATTTGAATGGTTTCGCAGTTTTGACAGTGGAAAATATTGTTTTACTTTGTTTTATGACAAGTGAATAGTTTTGTTCCGAGAAATTTTCAGTGCATTTCACCAAAGACTTGTTGAAACACAAATAATTTTGAAAAGAAGTGATGGTAGGTTTATATGACAAAACAAATATGCTGTTTAAAGGTAAAGTGCTGCTGTGGTTTCGGTGACAAAATCAATGTCCACTGCAGAAGAAAGATCTAAACTATCTCTAAAATAGATATTTATTGCTACTGTTCTTTAGTAGTTCAGATAATTACAGATAATATTTCTTACAGTGTCAGTACAAGAGAGAAAAAGATGGTACATCTGCAAACAAATTCAACTTACACATTTATTTACATGCTCTCAAGACTAGATTACAAAGTTTGCATAATTTGAATAATATATAAGCACAAATAAAACACACTGTTTTCAGGAATATTTGTTCACATTAACACACAGGTAAGAATTCTGCAGTATTAAACAGAAAAGCAAGAGTTCAGCATGATGAGCTTCCCTTTGTGTGCATGTTCAGATATTCACTATGAACCGTCACCGACCACTACATTATGTGTCTCTGACCACACGGAGTCATCTGCAAATTATTCCCATAGACTAAGTCTGGAGCTTCATTTAGCATTTTCCCTCTTTTTTTCTCCCTTCAGTCCAGCATGTTTTCATCGTCTTTTTTTTTTTTCCTTCCTCCGCCTTTCCCTGGTCACTGACATCCACAGCAGGCTCCTTCCCACTCCCTCTTCCCCAGGCGAAGAGCCTGCTATCTGGTGTAGCAAGCAACGGGGGGTGGCTGTGATCGCCCAGTCCTGGTGGAAAGGTCCAGGCACTGCAGGGCCCCTATTACCCAGCCGGGGGGCATGGAGACGGGGCAGGGCTGGCCACTGCTGAGCCTGGGTGTCCGGTTCCTCTAGCTGCCAGTCAAAACTTCGCCCTCAGCTACTATAACCAAATGGAGGAGGAATGAAGGGGGACGACAGGTTAAACAACCTCAGGCAAATGGAGAAGAAAGCAAGATTCTTTTTTAAACATAAAAGAGGGTTTTAAGGTTTCATATAAACATCAGGATAATGTAGAGCTATTCATTTGTCTGTTGTGTGATAACGATACCATGAGCGATTAGAGATCCAGACACTACATATATTTACTGTACAACATGTGCCTACTGTACAGTATATTTATAGCAGAGCGCTTGAAAGGAGCACTGTGTGTATCTGCATGAAGGTTTTTGTAAGTGTGCAGGTATTTATAGCTTCTACCAGAATAGGTTTAAAACAAGCGAGCTCCTTTGTTCGACTGAAGACATGTTTCTGCACCTCTATCGCACATTGCTTAGCTGCGGATTATTTCAGTGTTTATCAGTGTTACACATTTGTAAATTATAATAATTTGTAGGAAGATGGATAATTTTAGAGTGGTTACATTTTGTAGAGAAAATACGTGTGTGAGCATGTTTTGTTTGTCTGTGTGTGAGTTTCTGTTGCTGAGCTCACAGAGTCCTAACAGCCTTTTCTGATGTATGAAGGGAAATGGTTGTGTTGCTTATTAGTATACAAATATGAATTACTGAATAGTTGTTATTTTTTCTCTTCAAATTCTCCCACACAGCTGTATTAGAGAAAGACTCTTTGTATTTGAGAAAGTGAAGTTGAGCCTGAGAGAGACAGAGAAAGATTTCAATCCTTGTGGGAGATTTGCTTGTTGTACCGAGGCCATTCAGGTTTATTTGAAAAAATAAATTTAGCTGTGAGCATTATGCAAATGTGCTGGACATTTCTAATATTTAATTTATGTCTCTTTTTTTTTTTTTGCATTTTATACTCTGCGTCTGATGGTTAATTTTACATGAAGTTGTAGTTCTGTTGAAAAGTTTGGATGTGAGTCTTTCAAACTTTTTTTTTAACGTGAGAAGGGGAGAAGTTGAGAGAATGTAATTGTTTAATTGTGTTGTTATTGTGAAAAGTTGTTTGCATTGATATTCAGATGCATGTGTGTGTGTGTGTGTGTGTGTGTGTGTATGTGTGTGCGTGAAAGGAAAATCAAACACTGACGGCTCAGTGCGAGCGTGTGTGTGCGCTTTAGTGTCCGACTGGCTCCACTACAGTAATAGCAGACCTGTGTACGCACTCTTGAGGGGCTGTTGAACCTCATATTCATATTAACCTTAGACTGTAAACACAATGAAGAGCTTGTTTTTCAATCTCTCTCTGTCTCTCTGTTCTTTCCCACACACACACACATGCACACACAGAAATAAAACAATTTGATTGTTGATTATTAAGCTTTCTCTCTTTTGTTGTTGTTCAGCCAAACAGGGTGGATCATAATTGGTACACAGACCAATAAATCTACTTTATACAGTAATAGTCTCAATTTCACCTCTCTTAAAAGTTTCCCATCAAAACTGACTGTTAAACACGGATGCATTTTCATACCGAGAGTAATTAATTTCAAATCTGCTCTGCTTATATTTGAAATAATGGATTTCTTGTACTTGAATTTGATAAAGATGTTTTGCTAGTAAAAGATTAAGTATTAGACATGGTTTGCATTTTCAGCATTTCTTATAATTACTGCTGAAGTCTTATCAATCTGGGAAATCTCTGTATATGTATGCATAACATTATTAGACAATATAAATATTTTGCTGTTTGTTCCTGATGTATTTTCTTCCCCACAAATATCACATTTCTTCCAGCTAAACTTTTCGAAGCAATTGACAACAACGCTTTCTCACACTTGAGATAACAAGCTTCCATCATTACCAATTTTACTTTCCCACAGATATCTTCTCCCAACCACCTCAACAATCTGTTGTCACAGGCTAAAGGGCCCTGCCAAAATCAGAATACAGGGTTTTAGGAAAGGTTAATTTTCAGATGGTACTTTTCTTGTTTGGTGATGAGAGGGGAGGTATAGAGGTTATGGATTTGGCAGATGGGTGCAGAAAGGTTAGAGATGGGGCATAAGAGCCTTTTGGGGTAGGAGAGAGGGTATTGGGGCTTGGAGTGACAGGGTTAGGGACTCGGGGTGTGGGGTGTGTGGGGTCAGATGATGTGGTTTGAGGTTGAGTACGGAGGGGTCAGCTTTGACGTGGTGCAGCTGAAAAAGGTACATGACCTCAGCCTCTGGGATGATTGGCATGGAGGAAAGAGGCTCTGACGTCTTGTACTCATCCTCCTCGTCGACGTCCTCCTCAGCTGAAGGCCCAAAAGAGCCTTGAGGGTCAGGGTGTTGAACTGAGGCTCACCGACACCAGGCCTGTACCTTTGTTGGAGCCCAGTCTTATTTTTACGCTTTGTTCCGTGGTGGTTATGTTTCTGCATATGAATGCGTATCGTTTACAATTGCACATATGGTCGGCGTACGTTCTCAGGAGTTTGCCTCATAAGGGTCAATATGGGGTCTTGAATGTATACATTCTTCGCCCACACTGTTCTCACTTTTTTTGTTCTCTGCTGACGGTTTTTGTCTTTTTCTCTCCCTCAAGCTTTTTGTCATCGTTGTCTGGAACTTTGAACTCTATATGATTCCTCTGGCTTTGCTACTGCCTTTGGCCTGGAACTATATCCTCATCACATCGGGGAAGGATACCAGGCAAGATGTGGTGAGTAACCCCCCATACGTTCTTGATATTCCTCTGCCTTTCTTTCTTTTCACTGTAAAAAGCCTCTTTCCACACACAATGCAGGGTTAAAACTCAGACACCATTACCACAGAGACATTATGTTCTTATTTTATTTACGACATTAATCACATTTACAAGGATTTCATGTCTTTCATATGAGACAACGCATAGAATTTGTGATATTAAAGACATGACAGGTGATTAAAGTCAGTATAGATGTACAGATGAGCTGAAGTGAAACACACTTTTTTTTTTAAACAACAGCAAGATGAGCATAATACAAACTCATTTAAAATACACCTTTTGATTAAACTGGACAAACTTTGAGCAAAATTGGAATTTAATTTAAAAAAAAAAAATCTCTCAGGTGAATTTTTTCCCCCATCTGCCCCTTGAGGAGCTGCATTCTCAGTGCAATCTCACATTTCTCACTTTGCCTTCTTTGAGGCAAAGAAAAGGGAGAAATAATAGGCTGTCACCTTGAGCTACGTTACGCCACTTACCTGGTAGTATATTTATTTAATTCATTTATTTTTATCTCTTATACCAATTAAATGATGTCAAAGCAATGTCATGGAGAAACAGACATGTTTTAATCATGGCCAGGCACATTTGGAGAGTAGAGAGTGGAAACGAGAGAGAGAGCCGGACTATGGAGTGAGCGTGAACAATGAAGTGATTAATTTTAATAAGTGCCTTTTTCCAAGACTCAGTTGGAAATAACCAGTTAACAGACCTCAGATTTTTCTTGCAGTCTCTCACCCTCTATATGTGTATATTTATCCCTTCATAAGGATTCTGTGGGTTAGATTGGATTGGATTTGGAAGATATATTAAATTCAGTCATTATAATGAACCAAATCTCATTGCTGTGTGTCGTTGTAGTATTACACAGAATAAAAAATGGAATTAGATGTGAGCTGTACATTACTTACAACACAGATTTATTTGGTAAGTCTCCAGAGCTAAGTCTCTCTTTTTATAAGCCTCTGTGTCTGTATTTGCTCATTTAAAAAGTTGACATAAAATCAGCAACAGACCACCCTTAGGAGACAGATACAAGCTGCCAGTTACTTATACAGTAGACTGTGGCACATACTAGAATTTAAACTATTTAACTAGACATAGTAAACTCAGTAATTAAATGTTTGAAATAGCAGGTAGGTTCATAGATAAATCATTTTTAAAATTTGTGAATGACACAGACTTGAATTTCAGAGGATATTTCTCTTCACCTGTAGATGGCGACATTGCTTGACAAAAAAAAAAATCCCACACGCCTTAAGACAAAACCCAGCATGATGATTTGTCCCCCCACCTGCTGCTTGTATTTATCCAGACCTAATGATATTCTTTTCCCATGCACTTCCTAATTAAAATGAGGCAACAAAGGTTACATATTCTCGTAACGTGCCACTCACTTCACATACGAGTAAATACATGTAACTCCCACTTCATGCAGAATTGCGCTTCTCTCCCCCTTGAAAGGCACCATTGTGTCTCAAGTACCTCAGGAATTGGTTGGAACATTAAGACATGTTGATATTGTTGATACTCTTATGGCAAGTGCCTTTTAGGACGACAATACTGTTCTGCTCAGTTCTACAAAGTTGTCCTTTGCTCAGAGACAAGAGAAGAGCCGGACACTTACAACATATTTTAGTTTCACTGTTTTTACTGTCTGTCTTAAACAACATTGTAATTTGATTGACATGTACTTCCACATTTAGACCAGTGACATTGAACCTTGGTTTGTTATGATATAAGCACTACCATTTGCCACCAACTATGACAGTATTTACTTCTCTCTACTTTAATTGCTTGTAGCTCTCCTTGTTGCTATAGCCTTTTGTATTTCTTTGCCTGGTTACAATCCAAGCTAAAGGGTTTATTTGCATTTGAAGGTTGCTTCAGTATGATCATCTTCATAGTATGGTTTGAGGGGTTGAATTTAAAATACTTATCTGCTTGGGACACCAAGGCCAAGCATGTTTTTAGCCATGAAAGCACTGCTGCAAAGTTTCATATCTGAACTTCATACAGTGAAATGTCTCAGCTCTCTCTTAGGAGCACAATGAGCAATGGCTTTAAATGAGTGCGTTGTGTACTTCTTACAGTTTGACAGCCTTGATATGTGTGGAGCAGAGGGTCGGTGCTGCTATTGGCTGGTGGATGGTATGTAAAGAAGTTGGTTCGGGCTGGTGGTGAGATAGTAAGAGGCAAATATGCAGTGCAAGAGAACAGGATAGCAGTAGCATATATGTAGTGTAAGTGAATGTGCAGGTGTGTGCCTGATACATGGACACTGAGTACTGCATGCGTTATTTTGGTAATGTTTTCATGTACTCTGGCGTGTTCACTTTTATTCCAAGGTTATGAGTCAGGCTAACCAAAGTGTCGAACCACAGCTCATGCAAACGCACACATACATTTTGCATGTGTGAGTCACTCCAGGTGTGTGCTTGTATTGTACTTGCATGGGGGAAAATACAGCAAGTGTACATGGAGATAAAAGTTATCCTTCTGTGTCTGTGTGGAAAAAAATGTGTGTGTATTTCCAGTCACTGTGTATGTGCACATAAGCGTGCATATGCGTGAGTGTTTGCAGACATTCTTCACAACAATATATCCGATGAAAGTGGGATTAATTGTCAAAGATTAGCACCATTAATGCTCCTTTTCTTGCCGCTGTGACAGTTGTGCTGCGCAATACAGAGAAGCACGGGCGACACAAAGAAGATTCTCTGACAATCATCGTCTCTCTTGTCTCGGCTTTGCAATCTCACTGCCTCAGGATTGGTGAATGCAATGAACCCTCTCTTCTTGCTCCATTATCAACTCCCTGCCTCTTCCAGTTGTGATATTACTATCTTAAGTCAGCTAAAGTAACGTGCGATGGTGTAAGCATTCATTATTTTCAGGCATTTGTGTTTGCAAATACTGTACACACACATTCAGACACGAGTATCCCTTGAGTCCTGTCCCTGTTTGTTTTCAGACAGAGTTTCCCAATCTGCGTGCAGTGCAGGGGGGAAGTGGGTACAGCGAGAGCATGCAGTATCTGTGTTCTTTGCTTCCTTTCCCGGCCCCCTGGATTCCTCTTCCGAGTCTTTATCAAGCTGAAGTCATGGACGACTCACTGTTTCCCTCTCGCACTTGGCAGAGAACAGAGAAGAATAGAAAAGAAAACAAGGGAAAAAGGCTTTCTAATTACTTTAAACAACACACCAAATTAAAGCATTGTGCTGAGCCGAGCAAGGGTCAGCATCCGGAGCGCTGCGGTTTTCCAGCAGTCTGGGGTGAGGGTAATGCCAAAGGAATCTGTGCTGAACTCACTCTGAAGGGTGAGAGAGAGAGAGAGAGAGAGGGATAGGGTGGGGGAAGAAAGAGAGAAAACAAAAAAAAAGTATACGCATGAGTACAGACTTCCTAATGAACTGAAGGGCCTTGCTTCTTCTGATGGGTTCAATGTGAGGACCCTTCCCTGATTTTACACTGCAACCACAGTCCATAGCCCTGTCTATAGCAAATAAACAAACACAGTGTTCTCTACACACTGTAATTCACTACTCAGGGTCACTGAATGTTGTGTGGTTACATGCTGCTTTGCAAACAGATCTCGGATCAGCGCTCCTTTCCCCTCGCCCCAACCTTGACCAGTACCTGCTAAGCAGTCGGAGCGTCCTCAGAACAGCGATTAAAGGAGGCGATGCACCAGCAAGGTCGCTGACCTCCTCTCTTATCATGTAGCACTCTGACCTGTGAACCCCGACTCTTCAACACTGTTTGCTGACCTGTGTGTCATGCTGTAACATGCTCACTGAAGCAAACCAACAAACAAAGAAGAGGACCTTTTACGCTTTTGAATATATGTGGAGTAAGATAGTGTTTTGACATTCAGAGCTAATAACGTACCGTCAAGGAATGTCTGCCCTGTCTTTCTGCGTTTGTGTGTAGTTCCTAGAGGGGGAGGAGCAATTCCATAACATGGCCCTGTCCTATCCATCTCTATCTTGTGTTGAAACCTGGGACAATTTGAGGCTTAGATCCATCCGTAGCCTGTTGCAAAGGAAGCTGGCAGTAGGTTGTTCTCGGTCAACCAGAGGATAGAGAAGAAGGCTGCAAGGCGTGTGTGCATGTGTATATCTTTTCATAGCAGTGTGTCATATTCACATGTACGCCTGCTTGCATGAGTGTATACAACGTGCACTGAGATTAAGGAGCCGAGACACATCCCGATAGAAATCCTGCCTTGCTGTTCTGTTGGCCCAGAAAGGCCCTTAGCAGATGTTACGAAGGTGTTAATTTCAGTGCAGGCTGTCGTACAGGGCACATACGGAATATGGTGATGTCTCTTTCTACCACGGGATGATGGGCAATTAGGCCTTGTCACACTGGAGGACCATCATCTTTATCCCATGCTTCAGACCATTACATAGATTCACCCACTAGATTCACCAACCCATTACAGAAGAGAAGACCTTAATGGCCCGAAGATACTTCATGCTCATAGACGTGCGTCCAACGTCGAGATCGAGCTGACAACTTTCAACCCACTCTACATCCTGAGTGAGATAGTATTTCCATAAACAACAACAAATATGGAGTTTAATCTCCCCAACAAGACTTAGTCATCCTTTTAGAAAAAAAAATAATTGACTACGGTTTTCTACTAATTTTGCCATTTTCTATTTGTTCAAATCCATGTCGCTTGTTGTAGTGTAATCTTTACTTTCCCGACTGTGAAGCACTCAGTGTGACAGCGGCATATTGTTCATTAGCGTAAAAAGAATCTGGTTTATTTCCAAGACAGTAATAATGACTGATTTCATTGGAACATTGTATCATTTCTAGAACAAAACTTCATTGCCATTTTTATCTATTCTATTTTCTCCCTGATTTTGCATCTCAAAAAACCCTCTGCTTCTCTAAACACACTGTGCCTTGACATCTGCCCTCATTAAAAGCCACGCACAACA